TTCTTTAATCAAATAAAGAGTATTATAAAATGAGATGTTTATTGGACTCTTGACTCACACATAGGTGTCTGCTTGCTGATAGAGGACGCTGTAATGGGATCCTAGATTAAAAATTAATGATACAGGCTTTTTTTTTTTTTTAAGTAATCTCTGTCTAACAGTATTACTTCTCCCTGATGTTGTCCCTCTTGTTTTTTTCGGCATTTAAACACACACATCATACACAGGTGCTCTTGACTGCACAGCTTTTGAGTTGAATGTTACTTATGGCCTTTTGCGGGGTTGCAGTCTTAATTCATCAGGGGCAGTGGTAGAGTCAATAAAATGAGGTTTCCTATTCAGCGTAATGTCCTGGAGCCTTCCTGCACCTGAGACGGTGGTAAGAGTAAGTGATCCAAGGATGAGATAACTTAGGAATCAGTTTCCTCAGAAAAGCCTCCTTTGGATCTCTCTCTCTCTTTTTTTTTTTTTTTTTTTTAACTTTGAGAAACTACTGAGTATCAACAAATTGGAAGGCAAATCACTCTCCCTGATGAATAATATGTAGAATGAAAAAGTTTGTTTTAATAGTGAATCCCTGATCTAATGATACTTGCCTCTCTGAAACTAACTTCAGTGACAGGAAGAGCACTAAAACCATGCCACTGTCCTGACTGGCTGCTGATCCCTCCGCGGCATCCAGGCCAACTAGCAAAAGAATTAAGTCCTGCTCAGCATTCTGTTTCACGTAGGAGGCTGTGGCTCCTCCTCTGGATTCGTTCACTCCATGTAGAGGATGTAGGGAACACGCCTCTGGACAGGAGGTCCTCTTAAAAAAGATGTTTCATTTACTCAGTAGCTTCAAGCCCCACATCTCAACTCATGCATCTGACTGAGGAAACTTTGTCCTCCAGTTAATTTAAAGTTGTTCATAGTGGGTAGGATCTAAGATTTCCAGGGTGGATATAGAATAGCCTTTAATAAAGTTCACATTTGACAGGAGTCAAGTAGGAAACTAGATGCAGTGACTACCTAGTTAACAAAACTTTTTAATTTTAAAATATGTTATTTGAAAGAGTTAGAGGGAGAGCCAGGGAGCTGGATGGAAGGCAGAGCAGCCAGGTCTTGAACCCTGTGTTCATGGGATACCAGCATCAAAGGCAGCAGCTTTACCCACTGCACCACTACACCAGCCCCCACAGAGCTGTTTTTTCCTAAGGTGGACAAGTGCGATAGAACTAGCGGTCCTTGGGTCTCAGTGAGAGGGAACTAGGGCTTGTTTTGTAGGCCTTAGAGGAATCGAAGCAGAAGTTCTGATTTGATTCCCTTTTACTGTCTTACTGCAACCATTCTCCCCATCCCCATTCCTGCTTCTTGACGCCTTTGGTAAGTTTATTTGTGACTCAGTTTCTCTGGGGGCGCCGGATTCTGTCCCGGTTGCTCCTCTTCCAGGCCAGCTCTCTGCTGTGGCCCGGGAAGGCAGTGGAGGATGGCCCAAGTGCTTGGGCCCTGCACCCGCATAGGAGACCAGGAGAAGCGCCTGGTTCCTGGCTTCAGATCGGCGCAGCACGCCGGCCATACCAGCCACTTGGTGGGTGAACCAACAGAAAAAGGAAGACCTCTCTCTCTCTCTCTCTCTCTCTCACTGTCTAACTCTGCCTGTCAAAAAAGTTTCTCTGAGAGCCGGCATGAAATTCTTATATAAAGACCCAGAGGTAGTGTGTTGTGATTACCAGGGCAAACAGCATCTCTTCAGGTGGCAGTCTGACATCTTACCCTGGAGAGTTAATGACTGGTAAGAAGCCAAGTCTATTTTTTTTTTAATTGACAGAGTGGACAGTGAGAGAGAGAGACAGAGAGAAAGGTCTCCTTTGCCATTGGTTCACCCTCCAATGGCCGCCACGGCTGGCGCACCGCGCTGATCCAAAGCCAGGAGCCAGGTGCTTCTCCTGGTCTCCCATGGGGTGCAGGGCCCAAGCACTTGGGCCATCCTCCACTGCACTCCCTGGCCATAGCAGAGAGCTGGCCTGGAAGAGGGGCAACCGGGACAGAATCCGGCACCCCGACCGGGACTAGAACCCGGTGTGCCAGCACCACAGGCGGAGGATTAGCCTGTTGAGCCGCGGCGCCAGCCTAGAAGCCAAGTCTTGAGGAAAATTGGATGTCCTGACAAATAGGAAGTCGAGCTACCAGAGTTTTCAGAGGCTTGAGTCTCTCCTCATCCCCACTATAAAGGAAGTTTTCTGCCTACAGTTCCTAGGTCAGTGACCACATGGTTTAGTCTAATTCTGGAAGCCTCTCCTGGGTGTACTTTGTGATAAGGTGGATTATCAAATCAGGAGAGGGGCTGCCACAGCGGGCTAGCTGCTATTTATGATGCTGGTGTCCCAAATTGGAGGACCGGTTGGTTCACGTCCCAGCTGCTCCGCTTCTCATCCACTCCCTACTGTTGGCAGCTGGGAAGGCAGCAGTGATGCCTGAGTGCTTGGGCCCCTACCACCCATGTGGGAGACCCAGATGGAGTTCCAGGATCCTGGCTTTGGCCTGGATCAACCCTGGCTGTTGTGGACATTTGGGGAGTGAACCAGCAGATAGAAGATCTCTGTCCCTCTCTGCCAGTCTGCCTTTAAAACAAAATGAATCTTTAAAAGAAGAAAAAAAAAAGGCATTACAAACTCAAGGCAATAAGAGAAATGGAAATAAGTCTTGTTTCCCATTCTGCTCGAATAAACGCATGTTCTTTCCAGCTCGTGAGACGGTGCTGAGCCAATGTAGGTGGACAAGACCAGTCTGCCCAGATTTCTCACTCAGTTTGGGTACGTGCTAGCTTTGGGTGGAAGTGTGGATTGTGCAATTGCGAAGGCCAGCTGAGTAGAGAACGTCTCTGCTCACTTGCAGCTAGGGAAGGAAAGTTTGAACTCTCCCAAATTGGAAGCAGTGGGGAATTACTTGGCGTCATTGCTGCCACCACACCTACACTAACGATGCCTCAGTTTAAGATCCAAAGTCAGAAAGGGAGAGCTTTGGAGGAGGGTGTGTATCTAGGGGGGTTGCTGGCTGAGTGATCAGTAATCACCTCTCTGGAGTACAACTTGAGGGATGAGTGGGAAGTGCGCCAAAGCCAGGAGTGTGGAAATCCACTCCTGAGATTCAGAGCCAAGTGCAGAAGGCCTCCAAAAAAATCCACCCTTCCACACCCAGCCTCTGCCCTCTCCCCCTGCTTCCATTCCGGAAAGTCTGAAGCATGCCTGGAAAGCTGTTTGCTGCTCTCTTCTCTCCTCCTCCCCCTTTCCTGAGCTCCCAGCTGCTCGACCTCTTGCGTAACTGCAAGAGCACTGCGTTTTTGATGGGCTCCAGATGTGGAGTGGGGTGAGGGTGGAGGGTGGGGGCGGTAGGTCTCCAGTCCCTTGAGTGCTGTAACTGTGGGAACAGGGAGGCTGGACACATTGCATTGAGCCTTGAGCTTTGGGGTCAGCTGGTCCCTGGGTTGGGAGGACAGAGAAAGGTTAGGTGTTATTTCAACCCCCTGCCTCAGTGGGCTTGATTATTCCTTCAAATGCCTCCTGACCAAGACAGCAAAAAGGAGCTGGGGGTGGTGAAGCAGAATTAGCAGTTTGAGGTGCCCCAGTCTAAGCTTCTCTCCTCACATGCTGCACCCTGGCATACAGGATACAACATTTTTTTTTTTTTCTAAACACCAGAATAGCCTGAAAATTACTGTTGTGATCTTCTCATGGAGGTGCCCGGGTTAAGATACTTTCATGAGCCTCAAACTGCATGGAGAGGAAGAAAAGAGGCTTTGCCACCCAAATCCTTGGGTTTCCTGTGTACCCGCAGTGTTCCACCTCTCATTGCAGGTGGCTGCAGCAAAGGGTGCCCTGCCCCTCCCCCCTCTATTCACTGCATGGCTTCGGTCAACCCAGCCATGGGGGCCCACCTGTTAATGCCAGCCCTGTCAATGAGTGACCAGAGATCCCTGCAGTTCAGCCTCCTGCCGTTGCTGGGTTAGGGAGAGGGCACAAGCTAGAGCCACTGAGTCAGAACAGGACGTGTTCATCCCAAACAGGACGCAGTATTTTCTGCTGAGGCCAGATGCAGGGATTTTCTGCCCCTCCTTCAGTGAGGAAGTCTCCCAGGTCCCACCAGTGCAGGTTTGAAAGGCCCGGTCTCACTGATGTAGCCCCCTTGGGCCTCCCCAGTCAGCCTCCCGGGGCCAGAGCTGGCTTTGCAAGGTAAGGATTCACTGTCAGTGTTGGGTTTCCTGGCGGCGGCTGAGGTACAGGATGACTTCAGCTAGGCTCAGTGTCTAGGCTGAAGGATGCAGTGCCCCCTTTCCTGCCTTGCTAACCCCTCTCCCTGCTGTGGGATGGTGTGCACAACGCCTGCCTCCCAGGTGCTGCTAATAGCCCAGCAGGTGGGAGGGAGGTACTGGCTCCTTGGGGGCAAAATGATGATTCTGTTCAGCTTCTCGAGTTCACAGCCTTCTTAGATCCTTAGGACAGTCTGTGACACTGATGTTGCAGGGACTCCAACCCCATTTGCAACTCTTCGTGGTGGGGTTTGGGACAGGTGAGGAGAAGGAAGGAATAGGGCAAGACCAGGGTGCCCTATGCAGATGTTCCCGAGGCTATGTTGCCAGCGCGTTGGCAGGGGCTACCACTAGGAAGTTCCCTGGGAGCCATGGAGGGTTCAGGCATCTAAGGTTGAAAAGTAAATAAACAAAGGAAGGGGTGGGAGGGAACTGTCAAAAACAGCCGGGGAGAAGGGCCTTAAAGCCTTGGGTGGAGAGTGGTCCAGGAGTTCCCCCCCCCCGCCCGGGGGGGGGGGGGGCCTTTTGGGGTTTATTGCGGGGCTTTGGTGAGCCAAGCTGTGGGGGCCCCCAAACCGGGCCTTTTGCAGCCGGGGGGAGTTGCCCCTGGGGGAAAGGGGGGGTGGGGGGACCTTGGACTCCAGCCCCACAAGGGCGTCTTCTCTGGCTGGCCAGGCGGACGGGACGGGGGTGGAGGCGGGGACTGGGGGGGGGGGGGCGGGCCAGGCTCGCTCTCCTCCTACTCAGCGGGCTCCCAGGGAAAAGCAACAGTGTCCTCCTGAAACCCCAGGCCGCCGCGGCCAAGCCGGGCAAAGGGACCGGTGTCTGCCTCCACCCACCCACCCCAGGTAAGAGGGCCCCCTCCCATTGCCTCTTCGGGTCCTATTCACTGCACTGCCACGACCGGGCAAGGGGAAATCCCAGGGCCTGGCCAGAGGCCTCGGATCAGCGCTGGGCTGGGGGGCTCAGAAGAAATCCATGGGGGAGGAGGGCCACCGCAGGTGAGTGCGGGCCGGCGACGGGGCCTTGGTGCGGAGTCGGCCAGCCGCTTCCCTGGGAGCTGGTCGTTTTTGCCCTCTTGAGCTGCCGCCAGCATCGCCGCCAGAGGGGGCCCTCGCGCCCTCCCCCGGCAGGGCCACTGCCAGGGTCTCGGGTGTCGTGCGCGCGCGTGTCCTCGTCCTTCAGCGTCCCACCCCTCCCCCCTCCGCCGACAGCAGGACCGGCGGGCCGGGGGCTCCCCTGCCGGCCGCCTAGATGGACAAGAAAGGGATGGGGGTCCGGCCTGGAGGCATGAGTGTCCGATAGGGACCCTCGGGGGGTGTCCAGGAGGTGGGAAGCACGTCTGGGGCCTGCCAGGCACTCCTCCAGGGTCCACGTCTTCAGGGCGCGGAGGCCGCAAGGGGCACGTTGGAAAAGTGAGTCGTAGGCTCTCCCCACGCCCGCGCGGTCTGCATTTGAATCCCCAGCGGAGTTCCCCAGCGCGGAGGCTCAGCCAAGTCATCGGGCTCCCCCGGGATGGGGAAGTGCGGGCGGGCGGGCGGCCGGGTGGGGCCGCCGGGTGCAGGGTTGCCGAGGAGCTCGCGACGCTTCCGGCGAGGCGGGCGCGAGCGGGGACTTGGCCCGGCGGCCGCGGCCGGCGGGGGACCAGGACGCCGGGGCGGGGCCGCATTCTGGGCCCGTTAGCTCAGCCGTCGCGGAGGCTCCCGTGGTTGACTCACCCCCAGCGGTCCCACAAACAAGCTCGCCACTGCGCCGGCCCCCCGCCCCCGACGCCGGCCGCTCCTGCCTCGGCGCGCCCCCCAGCGCCGGATCGCCGCGCGGTGCCCAAGCCGAGCCCGGGCGACCACCACCCGCCTCCCGCCCGGGGTACCCGTGCCCGCGCTCGCGCTCCCGAGTCTGACACGCAGCCGCCCGGCCTCAAGCGGGCGGTGTCTGAGGGGCCGCCCCCTCTGCCCGTGGAGCAAACAAGCGGCGCCTTCTCCCCGCGGACCCCGAAGAAAGGCCGCTTGTCCGGCCGTCAGGGGCGGGCGGGGCGGCCACGGCAGGCGGCCCAACACTGCGGCCTTGTCCCACCCGGGCGGCCCGCGGAGGGGCCGGCCGAGGGGGAGCAGGGGCCTCTAGCCGGCGGAAGGCGCACCCGGCCTGCCCGCTTCCGAGAGGCGCACCCTTTCGGCACCCCTAGATCCCACACAACGCCAGAACCCCGACCGGACTCGCGCCTCTGCAGGGTCCCCGGCCCTCATGCTGCGGCCGCGCGCCCGCCTCGCCTCGCTCGCCGCCTCTGGGGCTTCTGGTCGGCCCGTCGGCCCTCTCCCCTCAGCGGCGCCGCGGTCTTCCCCTAGCTGTCACCCCCTCCACCCGAGGACCCCTGCCCCCAGCCTCTGCTCCCAAACTTCCCTTTCCCCGTCCGCTTCCCCGCAAGGCCCCCTTTCCCCTACAGCCTTGAGTTCTCTCCGCCCCCTGGGCCCTCGGCGCCCCGCTCCGGCCCCCGCCCCGCTCGGACGTCCCGCCCGCTCGGCTCCCGGCCTCAGTTTCCTTCCCTTCCTGCCTCCTTCCTCGAGGGCGGATGTGCGCCGGGAAGGCGAAGGCGGCGGGCGGCCGAGAGCGGGGGGGAACGAAGGAGAGGAACCGCGGGTCGCAGCTATGCGACGCCCGGGGCGAGGCCGCGGCTGGCCCCCCAAGACGCAGGTGAGGGCCCGAGCGCCCCGCAGGGGCTCTGGGGGGCAGCTGAGCAGTGGGGCTGCGGGGGCTGGGGCCTTTCATCTTAGGCCCCATGGGGGAGCCCGGGCCTCTTTTAGTGCCAGGGCTTGTGGGCCCTTCCTGGACCTCCCTCCACCCTCACTCGGGCGCCGAGATCCCCGAGAGGCGCCCCGCTCGCCGGAGAGGGCTGGGGACTGCTGCCCGGTGTGGCGCAGGTGCGGGGGTGTTGTCGCTGGGCGTGGAGGCCGGGTACCCCAGGGTCACGGTCACAGCCCCGGCCTGGCCGCATTGGGGGGGGGGGGGGGGGCTCCGTGTCGCCCGTCCAGTCCGGACACAGAGACCTCTGCCACTCTGCTCCCGAGGTAGCTGGGGTGCTGCTGCCCGACTTCTTGCTGCAGAGCTGGGGCCTGTTTTTGGCAGCTGAGCTGGGTGAGGTTTCTCAAAAAGACCGTGGTGGCAGGCAGGGTGGGTAATTACAGACCCTGGAGGGGGCGGGAGGTTGGGGGGGGACTCCGGATGCCCACCGGTCAGTCAGCGCCCTCACTCCGCGCTCAGGCCAGGATTGGGGGTCCGAGGAGGGCGTGCCTCCAAGTGGCGGCTCTGAGCCGCGGCGATGGCCGCCTGCGTGCGGACACCGGCTGTCAGGTGTTTCCACTTCGCCGGGATTAGGTTTCCTGGCTGGGGCCAGAGGCTCGCACCTCCCAATCTCTCCATCTTATCTTCTCCCCACACCTCTCTCCTTATCTCTCCTTCTCCTTTCACCTCCTCATTCCCTTCTCTGTTCTCCTCTAGCACTCTTGTTCCCCATCAACCTTATTCCTTTACAATCTTTATCTCCACTTGAAGTTCTTTGCCAAATAATTGAGCACGCCCACGGCTGCCTCTCACTCCGCTTTGACAGGTGAAGGAACTGAGGCCTGCACCTGTGAATTGCTTCGCTCAAGGTCATGCAGCTGGTCTTAACTGGCATTTTTACAGTGTTTTGCACTTCGAGGGGTGTCACTGAATACAAGACCTGAATCTTCAGACAGCCTTTAAAAAAAAAAGTAGCTTTATTGAGGTATAATTTATATACCATAAAATTTAATTTTAAATCCAATTTAAAGTTGGCACTGTGGCTCACTAGGCAAGCACCCCGGGTTCTAGTCCCAGCTGGGGCTCCGGGTTCTGTCCCGGTTGCTCCTCTTCCAGTCTATCTCTCTGCTGTGGCCCAGGAGTGCAGTGGAGGATGGGCCCTGCACCCGCATGGGAGACCAAGAAGAAGCATCTGGCTCCTGGCTTTGGATTGGTGTAGCTCCGGCCGTAGCAGCCATTTGGGGGGGGGTGTGAACCAACGGAAGGAAGACCTTTCTCTCTGTCTCTCTCTCTCTCTCTAACTCTGCCTGTCAAAAAAAAAATACAATTTAAGTGTGCAGTTCAATGATTCTTACATTATTTATAGGGCTAAGCAACTCTCTTTACAATCTAATTTTTAAAATGTCTTAACTGTTTCACTTAGTTTCATTTCATCTGGAAGGCAGAGAGAGAGATCTTCCTTCTCCTGGTTCACTCCCTAAGTGCCCACTGCAGCCAGAGCTAGGCCAGGTGGAAGCCATGAGTCTGGAACTCAATGCAGATTTCCCCATGTGGGTGGCAGAGATACTTGGGCCATGATCTGCTACCCCTAGGGTGTGCTGTAGCAAGCAGCTGAACCGGGAGCAGAGCCAGGGCCTCTAACTGTAGAACATTTTTGTCACCCCCACCCCCCCCAAAAAAAAAGAATCTTGTGCTCGGTTAGTCACTCCCCATCCCACCCCCAGCCCCAAGCAAGCACTGGTCAATCTTTTTTCTCTCTCCAAGTTTTATGGAAGAATGTCTTGATAATCAGAGGTTAAATGCTAGTGAATAAATAAAGTCAGGATAGAATTTCAGGTTATTGCGTCCCAGCTCACTCTTTCTGTGAAAGTATGATGCCTTTCCCTCTCCATTATTTTGTTTTTATCACCCCTCCTTTTGCATAAATTTCCCATTCCCAACCCACTGTCCATCTCTCCTCCCTCGGAAAGTGAGTCTAAGGAAGCCGTACAGCGATCTCCATCCCTGGAAATTCTTCCCCATGGCCAGATCTCCTGGGGAGGAGCTAGGCCAACTTGGGACTTGGTGTTAAGTGAATGGCTTTTGCCTTCCCTTTTCCTAGGCGGCCTTTGGGTGGGCCCCAGGCCTATTCCGGACTCTCTTCCGCTAGCTTGGGTGGAAATGGTGACAGAGGTGATGTAGTCCAAGCAGGAAGGGTGGAAGCCGGGAGGGTAAATTTAGCAACTCCATGACCGAGGCCTTAAGGACCCACTGCCAGAGTTAGACACTCCTTGGAATGCTGGCTGTGCCCCCACTTCCTCTCCAGGTCACCTCGTAGGCTGCTGGAAGAGCAAGAGGAGGGAAACCCCGCTGTCCTGAGTCTACCTCCCTCACCCTCACCACTCTCTTCTCGGCTTTCCCCAGCAACACTTCAGTAGCAAGCTGGCCAAGGGATGGGCACATGGGTGCACATTAGCACACAGAGGTCATTCCTCAGTTCCTCAGGTGCCGGAAACGTGAGCCGGGGAGAGACAAGGTGCATGGCTGGGATTCGAGTTCTGGCTCTGAAGCCTGCCTTCTCCTGCTTCTAAGAGCACTGAGCCAGCTCAGAACCCAGAGAGGTTTCTAGCTGGCTGTGTAGGGGTGGGGGTGCTTTCTAGGGAAGAAAGGGTGCAGGAGTGGAGATATACAGAGATGGCAGACTGTGTCTCCTCTGTCTCCTGTGAGGAGACGCCCTGATGACACCCCTGGGGAAAAAAAGAAAAGAAGGAAAGGTTGACGGAGAGTCCCTGTTGCATTCTGCCACTCCCCTGGGGGGCCTCTGGCTCCCAGGGTTCTTAGAGGGGCTTCCCTGGACTCTGCTTTTCCCACTAAGGTAGATTTCCCCTCCCCTACTTAAGGCTCCATGTGGCTGAGGTCCTTTGGCTGCCAGGGCTTGGGTTCTGGGTAGCCTAAGAAAGCACAGAGGTGCAGATTAGGCCTGAGGGTGTTGATTGGACCTATGGTGACAAGGACCAGGACTGGTATGGTGTGGTATCCATGCCGTGGCTGTGGGTGAGGCATCTTCTGTGCCCTGGACCCCAAGCTCCTTGACTGCCTCCAGTTTTCCTTCAGCATGAGCTTACTGGCAATGATGATGCCCAGCCCTGAGGACAGTGCTGCAGAACCCACTTCTTTCTAATTTGGGAGACAGACAGATATAGTTCCTCTTGGTTCATTCCTCAAATGCCCCCAGTAGCCTTGACTGGATCTGGCTCAAACCAGGAGTCAGGAACTCAATCCGGCTCCCCCACGTGGGTGGCAGGGACCCAGGTACTTGAGCCCTTGCATCTTAGAGTCTGCATTCACGAGAGGCTGGACTCAGGAGCTGGACCCAGAGCCAGGGATCAAACTTACACGCTCAGATGTGGGATCCTGGTGTCTTAATCAGCATCCTTACTGTTGGGCCAAACACCCCAAGAACATACTTCTTTTCCTCTTTTGCCCTGGCCTCCCAACTCCCCCTGCTCTGCTGTGTCCCTAGGAGCTCTGGAGCCCCAGGACCATGGATGCTCTCAACAGGAGCCAGGGAGGTCCTGGATGCAAGACCCAGGCCATGGTGCAGGTGAGTAGGGTCGGGGCTGCAGGACGAGCATGGGTTCGGCTCTTCTACCTACTTACGTCTCAGCCCGACGAGGAGGGCAGCAGTTCTGGCTTTTGTGGCCTTCCCCAGGTGCCAAGCCTATTAACAGCTCACTCTATCTGAATCAGGTTAATTGGTCCACTCAGAAACTCCTCTTTGAAAGTCGGAAAACAGTTTGTGTCCCTGAGTTGTATCACTGTCTTGCCCCCTGCCTGTGCCCTCCCTGGTAGTGTGGCCAGGGCAAGCAATGGCCGGCCGAGGAGATGGAGAGCCAGGGAGCTCCACTGGAACCTCCTCTAAGACCCTGCCTCTACCCCTTTCTCCCTGTTTCTGTTTTAGTAGACAAAAGGGGCAGCTGAGCCAAGACTTGAGATAAATCCAGTGGGACGAGTTAGTGGCCTAGATTCAGATCTAATTAGAATTTCGGGGACTGATGCTCTGTATGAGGTTTGTGCTAAGCCTTTCGGCACCCTCAGAGCCTTGTGGAGAGAGTGCTGGTGTGACCAGGACTAGGGTGGTCTCTGATGGTGCTCATCCCCCGCCCCCACTCCCTGCAGAAGGGACCTTTGGACCTGATCGAGACAGGCAAAGGGCTGAAGGTGCAAACGGACAAACCCCATCTGGTGAGCCTGGGCAGTGGGCGACTCAGCACGGCTGTTACCCTCCTGCCGCTGGAGGAAGGTGAGTGTGGGCAAGGGCGTCCCGCCTGCCGCCTGCCACCCCCTCCCCACCACAGGCATTCCTGCCTGGGAGACCAGACCCCTGCATGTAGTGTGCCCTGCTGCTGTCTGCCGGCCATCCTAGTCCTCCCTCCCTCCCAGCTTGCCCCCCTAGTCTCAGCCTCCCTGGACAGCCTGCCTTCTGTGGTAGCTGGGATTAAAGATCAGTTTAGAAATGAGGAGGATAGCACTGCTGAAACAGGAGAGCACGTGCTGTTGGCAACCAGTCTGGCCAACAAGAAGGAGGCCCCACCCAGGGCATGGGGGCCTGGACGGCGGAGAATAGAGAGACAGGAGTGGGGGGGCAAGATCTCCCATGATAAGACCCTGGCATGGCCCCCTTTGCACTCAGCTTCTGCTCTCCCTCCAGCCTCTCCTGGCTGCACTTGTTGCCAGGGTGATAGTGCATTCCCCACATTCTCCAAATACCAGTCCCAGGGGCTCTGCCAGGGGGAGGGAAGGAGGCAGGGGAGGGGGTGCAGGTGGCAGAAGGAAGGAGAGAAGGAGACTGGAGATTTAGAAGAAGAGGGGGAAGAGTAGGAGGCAAGGGAAACGGGACAAAGACACAGGGAGGGGCAGTTGGGGGGACCAAGGGAAGGTCTGCAGAGTCAGGCGCCTTCTCTCCCTCACAGCAGAGCTTTCTCTGCCGTCTCCCCAGACCCCGGGGCCAAAGAGGGGCAGCAGTGGTGGGCAGAGAGGAGGTAGAAATGCATCTCTCCCACCTCCGTGGTCCCCTTTGCCTTGCTCCTGCTCAGCCTGACAGCCCCTCTGACTCAGTTTGCCTCTTGTCTCCAGGGAGGACGGTGATTGGCTCTGCAGCCAGGGACATCTCGCTGCAGGGCCCGGGCCTGGCTCCAGAACACTGCTACATTGAGAATCTTCAGGGCACCCTCACCCTCTACCCTTGCGGCAATGCCTGTAGTATTGATGGGCTCCCTGTCCGGCAGCCCACCCGGCTCACTCAGGGTAAGGTCTGGTGCCCCCAAACCGACGGGGGTCTCCATTTAAAAGCTTGTACATGTTAGGCGCAAGGGAAGCCTTCTGTGATGTTCACCATGGTAACCGCGGGAGTGGTTTCAGGGGGCAGGATGCACAGGTGCGCCTGGATGTGCCTTAACAACATCCCGAACCCCTCCAGCACCCAGACGAGTCTTTAACCCGCTGTCTCTCTGGTCACCCACACCTGCCTCTCCACACCATCGGGAGAGAAGAGGTTCCAGTGCCTGCTGTCAGAGGGCCCGGGCTCTGCTGTGGTGGTGTTGGGGGTGAGCAATGGCAGTGAGAGAGTATCAGTGTCTTTGTTTCATAATGCCTAGAGGGAGGCTTTTTAAAAAAGTATTTATTAACATATATTTATTCAAAAGGCAGAGAGACAGACAAAGGTCTTCCATTGACTGGTTCACTTACCAAATGCTTGCAACAGCTGGGGATAGCAGGGACCCGAGTCCCCAAGCCTTCACCTGCTACCTCCCACAGCACACATCAGCAGGAAGGCGGACTAGGGAAGGAGGCCAGGACTCACCTTAACCACTGGGCCAAACACCTGTCCCATTCCTTTTTCCTTTTTAAAGTTTTATTTACAGAGTGAGTTGTTTGAGAAGCTGTAGAGGACAAAACTTGCTCTGGGAATGGGCCAAGGGCAAAATCTGATGGCAGAATCTGAGGATATGGCCACTCCTGGTACAAGGCTGTTGGTAGCAGCTTTGGGGTCATGAATACAGTTACAGCTTAGTTTCCCAAAGCAATGGGCCTTTTTGTTAGAGAAGCTGGCTCTAAAAAACAGGCCCTGAGTACTATGGTTACAGACAGGTAAAAGGTCAGCCCACACAGCACTTTTAAATATACATATATATGTATGTGTGTTTGAAACGGAGTGACGGAAACACAGCTGGGGGAGAGAGCAAGATCTTCGGGCTACTGGTTAATTTCCCAACTGCCTGCAACAACCAGGACTAGACCAGGCCAAAGTCAGGAGCCAGGAACTTCATCCAGATCTCCCTTCCCAGGCACATTCGCAGGGAGCTGGACTGGAAGCGGAACAGCCAGGATATGGGATGCTGGTATTGCAAGTGGAAGTTTAACCCACTGGGCCACGGCATTGGTTCCCCAAGTAGCACTTTGACAGCCTAGGTGTGGTCACTGTGGAAACGGGGTCTGAGAGCAATCCCTACTGTGAATCATCCAAGCAGGGGATTGAGAAAAGTGGATTTGGGTGGCGATGAGAGGGGAGGGTGCCCTGAGGATGGGTGTTTCAGGCTAAGTCTGGCTCTGAGCAGGAGGGCTGGCATTGTTTTCTGAGAACTCTTACCGGCTGGAAGCCCCTTTCCAGGAGAGCACCCTCTTGCTCCAGGGTCTCCCACCCTCCTTCTGTGCACACCCCTTGGGGGGGTCTTTAAATGCTACTCCCTTCACAGCAGACTCAGGAAACCCTTGGGTCATCACGAGACCTGAATTTGCCCTACTCCTTCGCTCCTGCCCTTGGGTGAGCACAGGGTATGGACATCTGACTGCAAGGAGGCAGCTGTGTCAGTGACGGCAGGCAGGCCCTTGCTTCCTCCGGGGTTTTGGGTCTCTGAGTCTGGAGGAGAGCAAGGGGCCCCAGAGACTGGGGCTTTGGCTATGAAGCCATCTGGTTCCTGAGAGTCCTGTTTGGTTTCAGAGAGGGCATTGTCACGGAGACTTAAGTGCACAGAGGTGAGGCCACAGAGCAAAGCTGAAAGGCAGCCCGGTGTTCCCCCAAAGAACTGTCTTGCCCAGTGTGTTGGGAGCAGGGCGGGGGAGGGTAGGAACCAGGCCCTGCATGTCTCTCGTCCAGTCTTCATAGGGCATGGTTCAGTTCCCTGGGAAGAGGGAGGGCCTGGGGCCACAATGAAACTTTCAAGCATTTCCTGTGGCCCTAGTGACCAACCCCCCCCCTTGCCCAGCAAGATGCCCACCCTGCCAAGTATGTGCCCTCCCACTCTCTCTGACCCTAACCCCCTCCCCGACCCACCCCCCCACCCCCACCCCATAGCCTTCTTGTCTGGGCCCGCCTGTCTCAGCAGCCTGGCAGCCTGTGCAGGGGTAGGCAGAGGCACAAAGGAATGGGTGTTCTTCTCCCCAGCCCTCCCCTCCCCTGGGCTCCAGGAGCTGAGGGTTCCTTGTCTCATCTCTGGAGCAAGGCACCAAGCCCAGCCCTGCCTGGCCCCACTCCGGACATTCTTGGGAGTGCGTTTCCTTGGAAACTGGGTGGCTCGGGGGTGCATGTGCTATCTCTGTGTGTCTGTGTAACTGGAGTGTGTTTATGCATCTCCGGATGTGTTTGTGACTCTCGGCTTGTGTTGTTTCTCGTGTTTATGGATCAGCGTGTTCAACTGGGCAGCAGGGGTGGACGCAGGACCAAGAGTACGGAAATGTCTGCTTGTGCTCCTCGTGTACATGCAGACTCACTGGCTGTATGCCGGTCCGTGGCGTGTGTACGAGGGGATCGTTTTCCCTTCATCTGGCCTTGTAGAGGGGATTCGCCTCTTTGCACAGACGGAGATCCACCCTGGGAATGACAAGGAGCCTGCTCTGGCTGCGACAGGCTTTAGATGCATCACTCTGGGCCCTGTGCCCAGCCATAGGCTGCTGGGAGAGACGTAGTCCACGACAAGCAGAGACGGCAGTGACAGGCACTTCCAGCAGGAATACGCGTGGGCCAGGGGAGGGGGAGGCAGGCAGAAAACAGATGCCAGCCTTTAGCGTGGAGCTGTGAGTACGGGAGCATGGAGTGAGGAGTCGGGAAGATCCTCATTCTGCGCCTTGTAGCCAGGCATCTTGGCACATCCCACGCTACCCTCTTCTCTACCAAGCCAGGGGTGGAGCTGGAAATGGGACCAAGGAAGCGAGGAGGAATCTCAGTCTGGGTCTAGGCTGCCCCACCCTGGGGCCGCAGTGCCAGACCACATGAAAGCCCTGGGAGGGGACTAAGTAAGAGAGGACTCAGAAGGCCACACAGCTCAGGGCCCAGGCTGTGTAGACAGCAGGTCCCCATCCACTCCTAGCATGCATCCCTAGCCCTTGTCTCCAAATCTGCTTCACTCCCTGAAGCCCTCACTGGGGTGTTGGAGTTGTGTGCAGGCCAGCAGGGGGTGTGGCTCGGGAGCCAGGACTCCTGGGTTAGCCAGCTGCCTCTCTGGGATCTCCTCCTCTCCTACCCAGCTATCGGTTACTCCTTCTGTGAATTGGGGGGCAAAGCCTCCAAGCTTGCTCTGTTCTGAAACTCATAAAGATCTGACTAATAAATAAAGCTCAAAAGAAGAAAAAACAGAAGCCAGGGCCTCGGCTCCCCAGTGCCTGTGGCTGCCTCCTGCCCTATTTCTTGCTGGGTTTGTCCAGCTGGCCATCATAGTTTCCAGACCGATGAATCACTCTTCCTGAGGAGGTTTTGTTTTTTAAGCCTCCCCTCATTTTGCATTTGACCCTAAATGGTTCTTCCTTTTCCTTTAGGAGGGGGAATAAAATGCTTTGCACATGCGAGTGTGTGGATGTGTGTGTGTCCAGAGCGGGAGCGGGGCAGGGTGGGCTATTTGGTGAGGGTGAAAGTATGCCTGATGGGTTCCCCAAGGCACTGACTTTTTATTTCGCAGTCTCTTCAGGGACTGAGGGAAAGGGTGGCTGTGCCAGAGTGTGTAACCAGCAGGAGGGCTATGTGTACTGAGGGTGCTGGGGGGACTCAGAGTGTGTGTGTGTCTGAGAGGCAGCGAGTCAGACTGTGTGAGTGGTTGCACACACACAGTGGATTTGGAGGGAGACAGGCTGGATGACCTGTGAGCTTCTGGGGTCCAGCGCTAGGTCCCTGCAATTATCTAGGGGCCTTGGCTGGTTCCTGCCTGGCTCAAAATCAGCCTGACCCTGGGGGCACCGGGACACTGTTTCCCAGATAGGAAAAGTGCTTTGTGGGGCTGGGGACAGCACGACCGGAGGACTGGAGGTGGGGTAGGAAGGAGAGGAGGTGGCTTCTGGGAACTCAGCATGCAGACTGCCTCTGGAAGGGCAGTGTCTTGGTCCAGCCTGGGTCATGGGTGAGCTGTGGAGAGTGGGGTCCAGAGGAAGAGGTGTTTACACTGAGCTGGGCTCAGTGCTGCCTGCATGGCACAGGGCACTGCCCTGGCCTGATCACCAGCCCAGGGTGACCTTGTCTCAGTGGCAGGCTGAGGGCCAATGCTGGACCTAGGGACCCATCTGGATTCCATGGGGCCCCTGCTCTCCTCTTCCTCATATATGGACCCATGGAATGTTCTCCGAGGTCACTGAGGCCAGCCACCTCATTCCATAGATAAGGAAGCCCAGGCCAGCATGACTGGCCCTAGGTGACACCGGCTCGGACCCCAGCCTCTGCCACTGGCTTCCTACCCTGCGGGGTGCTGAGTGAGACACCGCGCTGCGCCTGCGCACTCTCACCTTTGCGTGGCCAGGCCAGCGTGGCCTCCCTAGGACCTCTCCTTTCAGCCCACGTCCCCGCCCTGGCGCGGATCCCCGCATCCTCCCGCCGCCCCGCCCTCCGCATCCCGCTCCCCTCTCTCCTCTCTCCTCCATCACTTCCTCTTCCCCTCCTCCCTCCTTTGTCCCTCCCTCCCTGGCTCCCTTCCCCCGCCGCCGCTGTGGCCGGCCCGCCCCTCCCCGGGCATTGGCGGCTGCTGGCTGCCTGGCTGCGCGCTCCGAGCCTGGAGCCGGCGGCGCGGAGCTCGGCCCGCCCCCTCAAAGGCCCGGGGCGGCCGGGGGCCCGGCGGGCTGCACTGGCTGGAGCCGACGATCTGGAGGTCCGGGTTCAGCGGTGAGTCCTCCCCCGGCCACCACCAGCCCCAGCCACCGGGCGTGGAGGAGCTCGAGCTGGGAGGCGCCCTGAAGGGTGGGCACCAGGAGGGGGATGGGTCTTCAGCCCCCTGTGTGAGCCTGAGGCTGAGACTGGGTGGTTTGTGCCCTGAACATTTTGGAGTTGGAGTCTGGGCTTGGTGCACGGCTCAGCCGGCCAGACCCCATCTTCCAAAGCGCCTGCAGCCCCCTCCTGGAGGACAGCCTGCAGATGGGCTTGAGGGATCCTTGTTAGGATGAGGGCAGCCTCAGTAGGGATCTGATGGAAAGTGGCAAGCGTCTCCTGCTGGCGGGTCCATTCTGTTTGTGTGGCCAGCAGGGCTGGGGCTGGGGCTCTGTGCCGAGTGAGCATGTGTGCTCTCTGAGTGTGCCGCTGTGTGTGTGTGGTGTTCCCCCTCTGCATGGCAGACATGGGATCCACCCTCTCCTTCGATCGGTTTATTTCCCTCCAGATGTGCAGCTCCTCCAGCCACCTGCACACAGCTGCTCTGGGCATGGGGGGCTGGGACCATGACTGAGACTGGATGGGCAGGGCTCCTGGGCGTCCCTGGAGGGCTGGCCTCTGGATGTGTGGGGCAGGAGAAGGCATCAAGGGGGTTTCTTCCAGAAACAGGCTGGCCAGGCCCCTGTAGGCAATAGGGGCCAGAGTTGGGGCAGAGCCTATGGCCCCTGTGTGCAAATAGAAAGTTAATTTGGGCAGGAGCTGGGCTGCTCCCATCCTGCTGCCCTCTTGCCTGCTCTATTAATACAGATCCAGCTCTGCTGCCTGGCATCACTATTTATAGCACAGAGACAGCATGGCCACACCCCCTGGTGGGGTAGGGGGAAAAGGGGACAGCTCTAGGGGCTAAGGAGGAGGGGGTCCTTAGATGCTCACAGCTTCCTTGGGTGGGCCTGCCGTTGCTGGACTGGAAGCCATGCAGAATCCTCACCTCCTTCCCAGCTTGGACCATGTGGTCAGGCCCCCATCCCCCCAACCTCCCTACCCCATCAACATAGGTTGAGTGGGTCTGTCTAGACCCTGTGTACTCATTAATTAGCTAGTTAAATGGCTGCAAGGAGGGGGAAGGGCCTGGCCAAACTCTTTCTGAAACAGCTGTGGTTGTGATTAGGTGGACAGTGTGGTTGGCTGTGTTGTTTATTCTGGTTATGATTACTCTAGGATCAGCTCCTCTGATTGGTAGCTTGGCAAGGAAGGCCCCCCCCCCCAACCTCCCATTTAGTATTGTTGGTGCCTGCTTGTGTGGGAGAGCCTATGGGTGTGCCAAGGTAGTAAGTGGCTTTGTCCACTATGGTTGTCTGCCGTGGGCTTTCCAGCCTGCAGGGCCCTCACCTCTCCTACAGCAATGTCTGGGGTTCCAGGAACAGGCTCCCAAGCGTCTCATGAGAGGGCCTGCCAAGGTGCCCACGTGGCCTGGGATAGCCTTTGCCCTTGCAGCCTGGCTGAGCCGAACTGTCTCAGCGTCCAGGAATGTAGACTTCCCTGCCAGTCTTAGCTCAGACTGGCATGAAGCTTGAAGTGCCAAGTGGCATCAGACTGGGCCAAGGACCGGGGGTGTAGACAAATCAGAAAGGTGGGTGGTAGAGAGCACCAGGGCTCTGGCTTCTCCCAACGTAGCATCTTCTCAGGATCCCTGGCACACCTGGTGTAGCCAGCAGGCAGAGTTCCGCCAGCTTGGCTTAGGGTGCCTGTGGGCACACCTGTTGCTGTGCACGCTCCTGAGCCCCTGGCTACATTTTCTGGCTCCCACACACCCTCCTTCTTCCACACACTCGCACTTCCTGGGCAGGACTGGGCTTGTGTCTTCTGCCTGGGAACACACTTGGCTGAGGCCGGCCCCGCGGCCCAGGCTTGGCTAGTTTCCAAGGAGACCAGGGAATAGCCAGATGGTGCTTTTTCAGAAGGAAGGTGAGGGTGGCCCCCTAGACTCTGAGAGGGTGGCAGCTCTCCTGAGGTCATGTAGCAAGAAGGAGTACAAGCAAATTCTAGGCCCACTTGGCCATCTCACTGATCCCTGTTTTTTTCCCTTGTCCTCTGTCTCAGAACTGCAAGTTTCTGCTCTCAAAGCCAACCCTTCTACCCAAGGGGCAGATCAGTAGATCATGGCTTGGTGGGTGGGATGCAGGCATCCCTGTTCCTTGAACATTCTCCAATTACAGATTACGTTTACAGACGCCGTCTTACTAACCCTGCAGGGTCAGTGGTCTTGTCCCCATTTTTCTGGTGAGAGAACTGGATTTGGAGGTGGAATGATTCCACTCAGAGATCTCACAGCTAGTGTGATGTTAGGCAAGGGCTTAGGTCTTAGGAGACACCCACCTGTGCCCTTTCCACTCTGCCTTGCCTGGTGGGGTTGCCTGTCTCAGGTGTCATTGTGTGGACACTGAGTGTGCAGGTGGGGCTGCCTCTTTGGAGCTCAAGGGAAACCAGCTAGTGCTGAATAGCATAGTGGGGTCCTCAGCCCTGCTCGCACCCCTAAGTGTTTGCTTTCTCCACAGGCTGCATGTTGTGCCTGGGTCAGTCCACCTTTCTCCGCTTTAACCACCCTGCTGAAGCCAAGTGGATGAAGAGCATGATCCCAGCAGGGGGCCGGGTCCCTGGCCCCCCCTACAGCCCTGGTCCTGGTAGGTGCCCAGCTGGGTCAAGGACTCAGGCTGGTAGTACCCCTTGGACAGTCTTTTTCCTTGCCCACTGCAGCCACACTTGGGATGTGAGGACAGGACAGCGTCCGTGGCATGGGCTTGCTGCCACCCACCTTGGACTAGTAAGGGCAGCCAGGCAGCGGGGCTGCTGAGAGGGATCCAAGGCAGTGGTGCTTGGAAAGCAGGGAATCATGTGCCTTGAGCGATGGAGGACTCTGCCGGCTTGGACCCCACTGCTCGGGGTCCTGGCCTTCTTGTGTCACCATGACAGTGTCACCCTTGAGAGTGGCCTGAAGGAAGCAGGAAGCATGGGAAGCTCTGGTGGGCCCACCTACTGGTGATCCTGCTCTTGGACCCTGCCCAACCCTCCAGCCGTGCCATGCCTGCCGCTGACTCAGTGGAGCAGCTGCAGTTCATGTGTGAATTATTGATCCCCAGAGGAGAATTGGTGATTGTTCTAGGAACCCACACTGGCTCCCTCAGCCCAGCTGCCTAGGGGGTGGGTACACACCAGAGGGTCTGCCACCCTACACTCTGCACTGGCATTCAGATGACACGCACCCTTTGCCCAGCCCTGGGGACCTGAGGAAAGGTCATTGGATCACCAGTATCCAAGGCAACCTCTTTGTGCCCTGCATCATCCCCATAATTTAGAACCCAAATTCCATCTTAAAAAGGCTTTGCCTTTTCTACTCCCTCAGCCACAGTCTTTTTATACTCACCTGGGGTCTCAGCATCCTAGGTTACTCATCCACTTCCTAGTTAATTTTTTTAAGATTTATTTTAGGAGCTGGCACTGTGGCATAATGGGTTAAGCCACTGCCTGCAGGCCGGCATCCCATATATACACCAGTTCAAGTCTAAGCTGCTCCACTTCTGATCCAGATCCGTGCTAATGCACCTGAGAAAACAAATGGAAGATGACCCAAATCTTTGGGCCCCGGCACCCACCTGGGAGACCTAGAGAAAGCTTCAGGCTCCTGGCTTTGGATCATCCCAGCTCCAGCTCTTGCAGTGATTTGGGGAGTGAACCGGCAGATGGAAGACCTCTCTCTCTTTCTCTCTCTCTCTCTCTCTCTCTCTCTGCCTCTGCCTCTGCCTCTGCCTCTGCAATTCTGCCTTTCAAATAAATAAATCTTTTTTTTTTTTTTTTTTGACAGGCAGAGTGGACAGTGAGAGAGACAGAGAGAAAGGTCTTCCTTTGCCGTTGGTTCACCCCCCAATGGCCGCCGTGGCTGACGCGCTGTGGCCGGCGCACTGCACTGATCCGATGGCAGGAGCCAGGAGCCAGGTGCTTCTCCTGGTCTCCCATGGGGTGCAGGGCCCAAGCACTTGGGCCATCCTCCACTGCCTTCCCGGGCCACAGCAGAGAGCTGGCCTGGAAGAGGGGCAACCGGGACAGAATCCGGCGCCCCGACCGGGACTAGAACCCGGTGTGCCGGTGCCGCTAGGCGGAGGATTAGCCTAGTGAGCCGCAGCGCTGGCCATAAATAAATCTTTAAAAATTATTTTAAAAAAAGATTTATTTGTATGAACAGCAGAGTTACAGAAAGAGGAGAGAGAGAGAGAGAGAGAGAAAGAGAATGATAACAATCTTCTATACACTGGTTTGGTCCTCAAATGGCTACAATGGCTGGGGCTGGGCCAGACTGAAGCCAGGAGCCCAGGGCCCAAGAACTCCCAAGCACATTAGCGGGAAGCTGGAATGGAAATGGAGCAGCTGGGAATTCAAAATGGCGCCCATATGGAATCCCGGCACTGTGGGCCAGGGCTTTACCCACTACACCACAATGCTGTGAGTCTTTTCCACTCATCTGGGATCTCAGCAGCCTGGTCCCTGGTTCCTGGTCCACTCCCTAGTTAATTTTTTTAGCTGCTCCTACTTGAGCCTTGCCAAGCCCTTAGTGAGGGCTGTTGGAACAGTGATTCTGGGGACTCCTGGTTGGCTGACAAGGGCTGGGGCAGACTCTCGCTGGCTGGCTTCATGGGGTAATTGGAGGCCCTGAGCTGCCCCTAGCTGCTGGCCAGCAGGGCTTCCAGGAACAGGCTGTTAGTACCAGATCCCTCCTCTGCTTCTTCTCGGATGAAGCTGTGTAGCCCGCACCACCTGCCCAGCCCTGGAGGCTTTGTTTTCCTCCCCAGCCTCTGGCTGGCTGTGTTGGAAGGCCCTGATATGCTTGCTGCTAGACCAGGAGCCTCTGGGACCACATTCAGCCCCCATCTCCTTTGTACACTGCCCACCTGCCCTTCCTGAAGGAGAAGTATAGGAAGCTGGGGAAACCAAGGCAGGGGAGAGCCAGGTTTTGGGGTGGGAAGTGCCTGGCCCTGCTGCTAGCGCTGCCCTAGGTACAGTTAGAGCCAACAGGATCCTGCCCATCCCCTTTCTTTACAGAAAGGGAAACTGAGAGCCATTGACTTGGCTTGGGTTGCCCAGTGGGTCAGGGGCAGAGCTGGCTGGTGCCAGAGCCCAGACCTCCTGGCTACTTGCGCAGAGCTTTTGAAGCCCTGCTGCGCCAGGAGGAGGTGGGGCGCTGACCTCGCTCTTGTGCGCATGCAGCTCCCCGGAGTTGAAGGCCAAGGCCTCAGGCCTCTTTACATTTCCCCTCAGCGGAACCAGACAGCCTGGTGAATGGGAACCACACCCCACAGCCTTCAACCCGGGGACCCTCGGCCTGTGCCAGCCACAGTTCCCTGGTGAGCTCTATTGAGAAGGACCTGCAGGAAATCATGGACTCACTGGTGCTAGAGGATCCTGGAGCTGCTGGCAAGAAGCCCACCGCAGTGTCCCCACTTTCGCCGCTGGCTAATGGTGGGCGCTACCTGCTGTCCCCCCCAACTAGCCCTGGTGCCATGTCTGTGGGCTCCAGCTATGAGAACACCTCTCCAGCCTTCTCACCACTCTCCTCGCCAGCCAGCAGTGGGAGCTGTGCCAGCCACTCACCCAGTGGGCAGGAGCCAGGACCTTCCGTCCCCCCGCTGGTGCCTGCCCGCTCTTCTAGCTACCATCTGGCCCTGCAACCCCCACAGTCCCGCCCTAGTGGTGCCCGTTCCTCCGAGAGCCCCCGCCTGGGCAGGAAGGGGGGTCATGAGAGGCCTCCCAGTCCTGGCCTCCGGGGTCTGCTGACAGACAGCCCAGCCGCCACGGTCTTGGCAGAGGCCCGCAGAGCCACTGAGAGCCCCCGGCTGGGTGGGCAGCTGCCCGTGGTGGCCATCAGCCTGAGTGAATACCCAACCTCCGGTGCCCGCAGCCAACCCACCAGCATTCCTGGCAGTCCCAAGTTCCAGCCTCCAGTCCCGGCTCCCCGCAACAAGATCGGCACACTCCAGGACCGCCCTCCCAGCCCTTTCCGTGAGCCCCCGGGCCCTGAGCGGGCCTTGACTGCCAGCCCCTCGCGCCAGCTGGTGGGGCGAACATTCTCGGATGGGTCAGCTGCCCGCACCCTGCAGCCTCCTGAGAGCCCACGCCTGGGCCGGCGCGGTCTGGACAGCATGCGCGAGCTACCTCCCTTGAGCCCATCTCTGTCCCGACGAGCTCTCTCTCCGCTGCCCACCCGGACCGCCCCAGACCCCAAGCTAACCAGGGAAGTGTCAGAGAGTCCACGGCCCCGGCGCTGGGCAGCCCACGGGACGTCACCAGAGGACTTCTCCCTGACGCTGGGGGCCCGCGGGTGGAGGACACGGAGCCCCTCGCCCACTCTGGGCGAGTCCCTGGCACCCCGCAAGGGCAGCTTCAGTGGCAGGCTGAGCCCGGCCTACAGTCTGGGCTCCCTCACTGGGGCTTCCCCCCGCCAGAGCCCCCGTGCACAGAGGAAGCTCTCCAGTGGGGACCTGCGGGTGCCTGTCACACGGGAGCGGAAGAACAGCATCACGGAGATCAGTGACAATGAGGATGACCTCCTGGAGTACCACCGGCGGCAGCGCCAGGAGCGGCTCCGGGAACAGGAGATGGAGAGGCTGGTGAGCAGGTGCTGGGGTCTCTGGGCATGGACTGGCCGGCCCATCGGGTGGGAGGGGCCCAGGCTTCTCAAGCATCCCCTCTAGGCTGCACCTTCGTGACCAGAATCTCATAGCTCTGGTGCCCTGAAGAAGCACTTTCTTTGAAATCTCTAAGGCTTTATCTTAAGTTCTTGCTAATCTCACACTTATTCTGCAAGTTTCACATTATGTGCCTGAGCACAGTGACACTAAACAGCACCAAGATGGTGAGGCCTTTTACTTCCCAGTTTGAGAAGCAGGTGATGGCAATGTGAAGGCTGGGTCCAGAGAAGGGAATGAATTTGTCCCAGATCACACAGCAAGTTCTGGCAGAGCTGGAATTAGGACCCACCTCTCTGTCTTTGCTATTGTGTCTGAGACTTGTCCTCCCTCCCTCCCTCCCTTCCTTTTCTTTCTTTCTTTCTTTCTTTTTTTTTTTTTAAGATTTTATTTATTTAGTTGAGAGGTAGAGTTACAGACAGTGAGAGGGAAGAGACAGAGAGAGGTCTTCTATCCACTGGTTTACTCCCCAAATGGCCGCAACGGCCAGAGCTGGGATGATCAGGAGCCAGGAGCTTCTTCCTGGTCTCCCACACGGGTGCAGGGGCCCAAGGACTTGGGCCATCTTCTGCTTTCCCAGGCCATAGCAGAGAGCTGGATTGGAAGAGGAGCAGCTGGGACTAGAACCGGTGTCCATATGGGATGCTGGCGCCGCAGGCAGAGGATTAACCTACTGCCCCACAGCACCAGCCCCGAGGCTTGTTCTTTCTTTAAGATTTATTTATTTATTTGAAAGCAAAGTGGTGGTGGTGGTGGTGGTGGTAAGCAGAGACAGAGAGATCTTCCATCTGTTCGTTCACTTCCCAAATGGCCGCAAAAGCCAGAACTGGGCCAGGCCAGAGCCAGGAGCTTCTTCCAGGTCTCTCATGCAGGTACAGGGGCCCAAGCACTTGGGCTATGTTCCGCTGCTTTTGCAGGTGTATTAGCAGGAAGCTGGATTGCAGGTGGAACAGCTGGAACCCAAACCCGTGCTCATAAGCTTAACCTGCTGCGCCACAACGCTGGCCCCCTTAGGCTTTTTAAATTTTTTTTTTCTTTAGAAAAGTGCCTGGTCCATCTTTCTTGGCTCTCTTTGGCCTCTACAATTGGATGGGGGCCGTTTACCTTGAGCCAGGCAGGGTCATCTGGGAGGGTGGGAGCAGGGAAAAGGAGAGAGCAGGGTGGGCAGCCCCCAGCCTGACCCTGGGCCGCCCTATGTGATAATGCCTGTGTGCACCCTTTGCACTCACATGTGTGGGTGTGTGCAGAGGCTGGGTGTGGCTCTGGGCAGCTGTCTTGGAGATGGCATCTGAGCTGGGCGGGGGCCGGGATTCCCCGGATAGCGCGGGGAGCTCCAGGGGCTCTGGCTGGGATGTACCACATGCCGGAGGACGGGTTCTGCTCACTTCTCACTGAGAGCAGAGGAACGGAGTTCTTGGGGGGGCCTGGGACTGGTTGGAGGAGGTTTCTCTGGAGCCCCTTTGGGAAGAGGTTGGGACCATCTGGGTGGGGTGTGGGGCAGTTGCCCAGCTGAGAGTTGAGGCAGGATCCTGTGGTTTCCTTCTCATCTTGGCCTAGGAGAGAATGCTGGGCCTCCCTGGGCGCTCATCCTGAGAGGGGGCAGTGAGGCTGGCATAGGCACAGGGGTGGGCCCAGCTCAAAGCTCCTCTGTGCAGCCTTCCCACCCCCACCCCACACAAGCACACACTTCCCCACCAGCCCCAGCCTGCCCCACCTGCCACTTTAAGTCTGGGCTGCTGCCTGCCCTGCCCCTCCCACCTCAACCCGGCTGCTTATCTGGGTCCTGGGGCAGGGGCGGGGCCGGGCCCTGCCCCGCCTCCTGGGTGCTGGAGCTTGGTTCCTGGTTTATTTATATTTTTGCCATGGATCATGAGGGAAGCTGTGTAAGTGTCTGGGAAGAGAAGGGACCGCGGCCAAACCTTCGGTGGTGAGAGACACCTGAGGAGGTGCAGGGTCCCCAGAGAGCTAGGGAGGCTGTGGTGCTACGAATGGGAGAGGGAGACACAGCCCAAGGGCCTGATTGTTCCATCCCTCCTATGTCTCCTAGCCCGGAGGGTTGACTGTCTAGGCCGGCTGTGGGATGGGAACAGGTGAAACACTCCAGGGCCTGAGTGTTCAAAGATCGGCAGCAGCCGAGGCTGCTGGGGAGGAGCCCAGGGCTGCCTGAGGGTGGGGGCTGGGAGGACCGTGTCCTGGCCCTGCCTCTTCCCGTGTGTCTGTGGCCGGGTGTCAGGTATCTGTAGACCTGTGCATCCGTTTTCCAGCCCCGTGTGTCTGTGCTGGACGTGTTTGTGTAAGTGTGCATTTGTGCGAGTTAGGGGCTGTCTGTTAACAGGGCCAGTGCACGCATTCTGTCCTTATGTGTCAGTGTGTCGGCACTGGGATGTCCGTGTGTCCACACAGCTGTGGTTCCCTGTCAGAAGGGATATGTCTCATTGTAGTCCTTGTGTGTTTGGGTGTGTCCATGAGGAAGCCTTGGCCCAGGAAGCAGGAAGACAGGAGGGGCTGGCCACGTGGGCAGGTGCCACCACAGCCTGGTTCTTCCCGCCCACTTCCGTGGTGCCCTGCCTTGCCTCCTACAGATCTTAGGGTTAGGGCTCTCCTGCCTCGAGCCCTTAGTGCCTGAGGTCTCCCTCCTGACAGGACACCAAGCGTCATTCTAGCACCAACCCACGCCCCACCCCCAAGCACGCGCTGGCTCATGCTTGCTCTGTCCACTCTCCCTAGGAACGGCAGCGCCTGGAGACCATCCTGAACCTGTGTGCTGAGTACAGCCGGGCTGATGGGGGCCCCGAGGCTGGGGAGCTGCCCAGCATCGGGGAAGCCACTGCAGCACTGGCACTGGCAGGCCGGAGGCCCTCACGAGGCCTTGCAGGGGCTATGGGGACCTCTGGGCGGAACAGTGAGGAGCCCGGAGCTGCCACCCAGCGCCTGTGGGACAGCGTGGACCGCTCAGATGAGGAGAACCTCAAGGAGGAGTGCAGCAGCACTGAGAGCACCCAGCAGGAGGTGGGGTGCAAGGGAGGGCGCTGGGGCAGAGGAGGCTGGCGTGCTGAACGCTGAGAGCCAGGGGGTGGGGATAATGGAAGGATCCACCTCGGGAAGAGACTGAAAACCAGAGAGGTGGCCATGAGGAGGCGCAGAAGGTGTGGAGGTTCCAGGCTATAAATAAGCTTTATGACCTGCCTCTCCTTGGGGCCCCACCCTGGCCTGGCACCCAGTGGTAAATCTTTATTCCTTTTAGCTGCGGCCTTTTTGCTCCCCTCACAGGGAGGGGAATCAGCCTCCACATCTTAGTCTGTCCCCACCCTGCCCAGCGTCCCCAGGGAAAGGGGCTCCATTCTCCAAGCCCCAGGCTTCCCCGTCTGATGGCTTGCCTCCCTTCCAGCATGAAGATGCACCTAGTGCCAAGCTGCAGGGAGAGGTGCTAGCCCTGGAGGAGGAGCGGGCTCAGGTGCTGGGGCGTGTGGAGCAGCTCAAGGTCCGTGTGAAGGAGCTGGAACAGCAGCTGCAGGAGTCGGCACGCGAGGTGAGCCGGAGGCTGCTGGCTGGGCCCCTCCCCGGCTGAGCGAAGGCCCTGGCTGCCTTCACGGATCCTGGTGTCTGCCCTAGGCGGAAATGGAGCGGGCCCTGCTGCAGGGGGAGCGGGAGGCAGAGCGGACGCTGCTGCAGAAGGAGCAGAAGGCGGTGGACCAGCTGCAGGAGAAGCTGGTGGCCCTGGAGACGGGCATCCAGCAGGAGAGGGAAAAGGTAACCCACACCTGGCCGGCCCAGGGCTGGGACCAGTGGCCTGAGAGAGCAGGAGACGTGCCTCCTCCGGGGCCCTGTACCCCTCACCTCGTCGTCCATCCCGCTGACCAGGTGGTCTCTGTGGCCTCTTCAGGACAGGGGCCCTTGTCCTCCATGGAAGGTACAAGCTTGGAGGGTGCTGCCAGGGGCTGGGCTGGTGTCTGAGGTCTCCTCTGTCTGGGTCTCTGTGCTACATGTGGGTGCCTGGGTGCCTGCCATTCTGGGCTCTTCTGGGAAGCGCCAAAACCCCTCTCCGGGGCAGTGAGCACAGCCCAGGGGACTGATGCTGAGGAGTAAGTCAGCTGTGGGTCCCAGCACCTGGAGGACGTCTCCAGCATGCTGTGGGTGCTCAGGAGCTGGCCTTTGGGAGACGGCCCTTAGGCCTCTGCTTCCTCCGAGCCTTCAGGGTCTGCAACCTCCCATCCCAGATGGTCCCAGTTCCCGCCCCTACCCCTTTCAGATCTCTGCCAGCCTGCAGGGGCTGCTCCATCCCACAGGGGCCATGCCAGCCACACTCGATGCCCAACACTGTGCCAAAAGCTCCGACGTGGAGAAGGGATTTTGGATTTTGACAGTATTTTTCTAAGAATTAAAATTTCCTTTTTGGATTTTTTGAGAATATCTTCCTCCTGCCCTCAATTTTGACGATCCTAAACATTCTTTGACCCTTTATTTATTTATTTTTGGAGCTTCAACTCTGGCCCTCAAAACCACACTCCCAAATTCTGTGCCAGATTAACTCCATGCTTACCCACCAGGCCTCCACTAACGCGCAGTCTAATCACTGTCCTGGGCTCTCGCATGCCCCTAACTGCCAGGCCACCCAGGCAGGGCTGAGCCGTGCCCGCTTACGCACTAACTCCAGGGGGCCTTCATGCCCCTGGCCTCTCCCCTCTAATAACTACCTCCTCCTCTCTTGGTGTGGGACCCCAGGGTTTTGCTCAGAAAGGAGCCGGCAGGAAGGCGCAGCTGAACTTGACTCAATGGGATAGCGGCAGGAGGGGCATAAGGGTAGGGAAAGGCCCAGCTGAGGAACAGCCCAACCTAGGAGCTCCTCCCACTGAGAGGCCTGCGCTGCTGGCTCCACGTTGGCAGCTTCCCGCACAGCAGGGGGAGGCAGGTCGTCTTCCGTCCATCCCTCTGCCTACCTGCTGGAGCTGGGGTAAGGGGGTCCAGGGGAGGATGTGGCCCCTGGGGGAGGTCTCTCTGTTAACAGTGGCTGCCCTTTCCAGCTTCCCCTAGGGCTCCCAGATTTAGATCCAGCCAGAGGGTGGGAATGGATGTCTCCCCCCCTAAGCTACCCAGAAGCTAGGGTATTCTAATAGTAGAGCCCAGACGGTAGGGAGGTACCTGGTGGCCAGGAACTAGCCTGCTGCAGGCCTCTTCTGTGGGGATGGGTAAGTGATAGGGGTAGAAGGCCAGGGGGTGGGGGCCGGCACTCAGCACAGGGGCTACTCTTGGGGTGCAGCTTAGCGTGTCTCGTTGGCCTGGAATTGCTGTAGGCCTGGATTTTGCCATCTCTGGGCCCAGTTATTTGAGTGGTGGTGGTGGTGGTAGTGGTGGTGGTGGTGGTGGTGGTGGTGGCGGCGGCAGCGGCAGCGGCTGCGGTGGTCGGGAAGGTTCCCTTGCCTCCCTCCCCAGCCCCCAGTCCATGGCCTGACTCTGGCTGTGGAATCTGTAATCACAGCTTCTCCTCTGCCTGTCCTTCGGAGGGGTGACTCACCAGCTCCTCCCCTCGTCCCCTTTCCCGCCCTCGGAGGTGTCATCTCGCCCCAGACAGAGCCGTCCACCTCCTCTCTGTACCCACTCCCAGGGCTCTCATTACCATGGCAACGGCCGAACTAATTGCAACTCTCGTCCCCACTGAAGTTCAGCGTGCAGTGCCGGCACTCCACCCCAGTCCTGGGCTGGGGTTGGGGGGAGGGGGACCCAGAGGGTTGGACGGGGTCTGCTCCACTGCACTGCTGTAGCTTTAACCTCCTCAGCTCCTGATTTGCATCCCACCCCTGGATTTAACCCTCGCCTCCACTACCCTTTCCCCTGGGGGTAAATTTTGGTCTCTGGGCGATTTGGGAGCCCTGGGCTCCCAACCGTGATGTGGAAGCAGTTCTGGCCTCTGCTGCTTCCAGGAGAAAGCTGAGGCCTTTTCCTAGGGCCTGCCCCAAGGTTATTCGTTCACAGACCCGCAGGAGACCAACATTTCTGCCCTGCACCCGCATCCTGCCTGTGCTGGCTGTCCCCGCATCTCTTGCCCTGTCTCATGTTCTGTACCCCACCACTTTGTGTGCCTTCTTCACCTCCTTCCTCCCTCACTCTCCTCTTTTCTCCCTCCTCTCCGCTTTGATTCCTGATGTCTCCTCCCTTGCCCGCCACCGCATCCCTGCCCGCCCTACCCTGCCACCCAGAGTTGAGGAGTGTGTGTTCTGTTTCTCCCCTGTGCCCGCCCTCCCCCCCCCTCCCGCCACCAGGAGAGGGCGGAGCTGGCCGCGGGACGGAGGCACCTGGAGGCCCGCCAGGCGCTCTACGCCGAGCTCCAGACGCAGCTCGATAACTGCCCCGAGTCAGTGCGGGAACAGTTACAGGAGCAGCTGAGAAGGGTCAGTTCCACCAGCCCCCCTCCCCCGGCCCCCGCGGGCCACCCGCCCAGAGAGAAGACAGGAGAGCAGTGGGACGGGACCACCTGGGCCTGCAGTACCTGCCGGACACCAGGGTCGGTGCTGTAGCTTGAAGGGGTCCGGGAAGGTTGGGGGGATCAGCGCTCCAGGCCGTGATGCCCGGGAACGGGACGAAGCCAAGCAGAGCAGAGGGGGATGGGTGGGGGCAGGTCTTTCTCCAACGTCCCCGGGTCCAGCCCCCACAACTCACCTCTGTGGCCTGGCCTTCCAGGCCCAGAGTGGTGTCGTGAGCACCATCCAACCTCTGTTGTCACTGTTGTTGAAGGAGGCAGAGGCCCTGGAGACGGAGACCAAGCTCTTTGAGGACCTGGAGTTCCAGCAGCTGGAGCGGGAGAGCCGCGCGGAGGAGGAGCGTGAGCTGGCCGGCCAGGGGCTGCTACGCAGCAAGGCCGAGCTGCTCCGCAGCGTGGCCAAGAGGAAGGTGTGCCTGGGCCCCGGCTCCCGGCGCGCTACAGGTGGAGGGGGGCCGCTGACCTGCGTCTCAGTTGCACTCGGTGACTTCACGGGTGATAACGTTGCCTTCCTGTACTACGCTCTGCTGAGGTGTGGATTGAGACACCCAGTAGACTGATGTGGGAATTAGACAAGTGGTGAAGACAGACCAGGAGCAACCGCAGAGGAGCTCTAGTGTTGAGCCCTGACTCTCTTCTGACGCTCGGTGGGAAGCAGATTCCGCTGGCACTCAGAGCTGGGTACTGGCTGGGCAGGTGGAGATGCAGGGGAGGCCGGCTTCTGCCCCATCCAGCTCTGTCTGATGGACCTGTTGGCACCCATGTGGAGACCTTACATCTGATGTTAGAGACAGCTGAGGTAGGGGAGTCCCACGAAGGGCAGCTATCTGGGAGCCAGCCCTGGTGTGGCTGAACTCTTTTTTTTTTTTTTTTTGATTAATTTATTTGAAAGGCAGAGGCAGAGAGAGGGGTCTTCCATCTTCTCATCTGTTGGTTCACTCCCCAAATGGCTACAAAGGCCAGAGCTGGACCAGTCTGAAGCCAGGAGCCAGGAGCTTCTTCTAGGTTTCCACGTGGGTTCAGGGTCCCAAGGACTTGGGCCATCTTCTACTGCTTTCCCAGGCCAAAGCAGAGAGCTGGATAGGAAGTGAAGCATCCAGGATTCGAACGGGCACCCATGTGGGATGCTGGCGTTGCAGGCAGTGGCTTTACCTGCTCCACTGTCGCTCCCCCTCTTCGCGGAGGAATGACACAGGACCCTGCACTGTTCTTTTGTCTGCTCGGCCCTTCCCGGGTTTGCTGCTGGTTCTTCCCGGGTTGGCTACCGTCCTTCCACCTCCGTGGAAGGGCGGTGCCCCCTGCCACTTTCCCCACTTCCGCGGGGGAGCGGCACACCGCCGGCCGGCTCTCTCGGGGGCTGCTCAGGTGTTCCTTCAGATAGATGTTCCTGGTGCATGTTGTCTCTCTCCTCCTTTATAGTCCTCTTCCACCAATCCCAACTCTGCTACCCACACGCCGAGTACGCTGCTCTCCTCCAATCAGGAGCAGGATCAGCTCCTGCAGGTTACTGGTCGAACTGGAAGCAGCTGTGCAGAAGCTGTTTCCTCCTCTCCCAGCGCCATATTGTGGGAGAGCAGATGCATAGAATAAGTCTTAATTCCAGTAACTTAGTCTAGTCCGAGTTGCTCCCCACACTCCACCACTGAACTCTTAAGCAAGGGGATTGGGCACTGTGTCCTGGTGGGCAGTGATGTGCTAGATGCTATGAGCATCTGCTGATCTCAGACCTGGCTGGGACAGTGGCAGGATGGTGGGGCAGGGATGTGTGTGTGTTGGCGGGGGGGGGTGTGTGAGTGAGAGAGAGAGAGAGAGAAGCTAGGCTTAGCGAGGGGAGGGGAGGGGAATTGGAAGCCCTGGATGGCTCACACCTATAGACTCAGGTGTGGCTGAGGCTTGTGTCCCTCTATACTCGTGCATACATGTGCAATGGGCTCGGCGGGTGTGAACATGTTAGAGGTGAGGGCAGTGAGCTGGGGGAGGAGTGTGCAGAAGTGGTGAGCAGGGCTAGGGCTGAGGTTTGCTGGCTAGCCTGGGTTTGGTGGTCAGTGGGGAGCTGTGGCCCTCCCCTGAGTCCAGCTCCCTTGCTTCCCTCCCCGAGCTGTTCTGCCTTACACATGCACCCACTTTCCGGATGTGAGACTGATGAAAGGAAATAAGAGAACTCACATTTCCTAAGCCCTTGGGCATAGGCCAGGCACGCTAGCAGGAGGCCACGTTGGGTTATCTCCTGCTGTCCTTGGGATTGTCTTATAAGGCAGGCTCGCTTATCCTCATTTTATAGACAAGGCAACTTGGGTTCAGAGGAGGTGTGTGTGTGTGTGTCTGTGTACTCAAAGCCTAGCAGGTAAGTGTCAGACTCAGATTTGAAACTTGGGCCTGCCTGAACCCAAAGCCCATGTTCCTTCCACTGTGCTACACAAGGGCTAGGGCTGGCTCTTCTCCATCTTCCTCTTTTCTTCTGGAGGGAATGCAGCAGGGGCTCTTAGATCAGCTCAGCTCATCCACTTGAAGTTCTAGGCTGCCTAAGCTCCTGGGAGTTGTGGGAAGGTCAGCAGCAGTAGATGCTGCTTCCCTCTCACAGCTACCCTGGCCCCTGGGCAGCTGCTGCCCTGCTGCCAGGACCCAGAGATTACATTCTTTCTGTGCTGCTCCTTGTGAGCTCTGCCCAGCTTCTATCCCTCAGCTCCCAGGGTCTGCCCCAGGCCCTGTGCCCTGGCGCCCTGTGCTGCTCAGTCCTCTTTGGTTCAGAGTGGTTGAGAGCACTGGCCTTGAAGTCCAACAGATCTGATCCTAATCCTAGCTCTGTCACCCACTACCTTAGAGACTTTAGCTCCCAAGTGTCAGTGCCATCACCTATAAAATGGACATAAAGGTACCTGCGTGATACGGGAGTTACCTGAGATGTGAATTGCAAAACATTTGGTAGAGTTCCTGGCCCCTAAGAGGTAACTGGCAGCTGTCCTGTGAGGGTCACTGCCTGGCCTGCTGCAGTCGTCCTCTGGGTTGACCCCAGGTTTAGTTGCAGGACAGCTCCCTTCTTCATGCTTTCCTCTCCCAGCTCTTGCTCCTAACTATGGCTGCCTCTCCCAGGAAGCCCTCTTAGCATTAATCTGGTCTATTCCAACCCCCACCCCACCCCAGGTCCTCATCCTTCCTCCTGACTTCTTATTGCATTTCCTTGAAATCAGCACATGATAGTTGAGCCAGGCACTGTGCTGAGCCCTGTTGAGGATGTGGAAACAGAAGAGACCATATGCATTGGCTGTTAACATGCAGGGCAAGTGGTGGTGGTAGTGGCAGCGACAGTATGCTCACAGATGACAGTGACATGAGAGAGGCCTAAGGTGATACAGAACAGTGAGAGAACGGGGGAGGAGGGCAAAGGAGCAAAGAAACCGAGTGGCAGTCAAGGAAGGCTTTGGAGGGGAGGTAGCATCCAGTGAGGTCTTGGAGGCCAAGCCTGGAGTGTGTGGAGAAAATGGACAGCTGTCTTGGCTAAGGGGGGTGGGAGGCCGCTGCAGAGGCAGGGCAAGGGCTAGGCACCCTTGCGTGCCAGGTCAGGGATTTGTGCTTTATCCTGTGGGTGGTGAGAAGCCACTGAAAGATTCTGAGGAGAGGAATGACCTGGCCTTACTTGTGGATCTTCTAAAAAATTTAGCGATATATTTATTAATTTATGTGAAAGGCAGAGAGACAGATCTTCTACCCACTGGTTTACCCCCCAAATGCCTGCAACAGTCAGGGCTGGTCCAGGCTGAAGTCAAGAGCCAGGAACTCCATCCAGTTCTCCTGCATGAGTGGCAGGAACCCAAGTCCTTGAGCCATCATCTGCTGCCTCCTATTTTGCACATTAGGAAACTTTACTGAAGTGGAGGAGCTGGGACTCGAACCAAGCACTCCCATATGGAATGCAGGCATCCCAAGGGGCGGTTTAATGCCTGTCCCAGTGTGGATTTTTTTAAGAGTTATTTATTTATTTATTTGAAACAGTTACAGAGAGGGAAGGAGAAATGGGGAGAGAGTGAGCTTCTATCCCCTGGTCCACTCTCCAAATGGCTGCATCAATCAGGGCTGGGCCAGGCCAAAGCCAGGAACCAGGAGTTTCATCTGCGTCTCCCATGTGGGTGGCAGGGGCCCAGATGCTTGGGCCATCTTCTACTGCTTTTCTTAAGCCATTAGCAGGGAGTTGGATGGGACAAGAACCAGAGCCCATATGGATGTAGGCATTGCAGACAGCAGCTTTACCCACTGTGCCACGACACCAGCTCCCCAGTGTGCATCCTAGTAAAAATTAAGAAATATGTATTTTCTTTAGAAAGACTAGAAAGAGGCCTTTTTAGGGGGCTGTTTTGTGGTAGCATGGAGTGGATGAGAAAGTTGAGTGTGAAAGCAGATGGCTGGTGAGACGACTCAGACTCAGGCCAGGGGGCAGAGGTCTGGATTTGAGTGGCAGCCATGGGGTGGGGGTGGGTAAACTATTCAGTGTCCTGGGCTCCGGGACCCACTGACTGTGAGAGTAGGGAAAGGCAGATTTAGGGATTTGGTTCCGGCTAGTGTGTCTGGTGGCACAGGAGTTACAGGCTAGGGGAGGGAGGTAGGAGAGGAAAAGGGGCTGACCACTGCAGCCTGGGTTTTCCTGGCCTGTGGTATGGTGGGCCAAGTGAAAGAGCTGGTTCCCTCACTGGTGCCCTGGGTATCTGGGCAGGAGAGTCGCACTTTGGGCTCAGTTCACTCAGGCCTGACTGACCACCCCATGTCCTCCAGGAGCGCCTCGCAGTTCTGGACAGTCAGGCTGGGCAGATCCGGGCGCAGGCTGTGCAGGAGTCAGAGCGCCTGGCCCGCGACAAGAATGCCTCGCTGCAGCTGCTGCAGAAGGTAATGCCTGGCAGGTGGGGCTGGGGGGGAGGGGAGGAACACAGGAGCCAGGGTGCAGATGGCTGCTGCCTCCCCCCGTCTTCACCCTCGTGTCCCTCATTCTCTGACTCTGGCCCTTGGTGCGGCTTGCAGGAGAAGGAGAAACTGACCATGCTGGAGAGGAGATACCACGCGCTCACGGGGGGCAGGCCTTTCCCGAAAACCACCTCGACTCTCAAAGAGGTAACAGGGTTGGGTCAGCCCGCAGGGTGTCCTGGGGGCTCCCATGGCTGAGGCTGCACTCGGGGCTGCTTTCCCGAGCTGCAGAGATTAGAGGAGAGAGGCTCCTGAGGTCCGGGACTTGACCCTCCATGGCTACCGGCTGCTTCCTCTGAGTTGCTGTTCGTGCTCCGTGGAGCCCACTAATCTCACCATTTGAGACTGGAGTGTAGGTGGGATGGGGGCAGGGCCAGGCGTGCTCATCCGGTGGGTGTCTTAGAGATCTGGGACTCTCCAGGCTTCCATCTGGAAGACAGTCTTGGCTCACCAGTGGGCACCGAAGCCTCCTCGGCAGTTGCTTCCCAAGTCTGTGTCTGGTGTGTGAGGTCTGACTGGGATGCACCTGGTTTGCTGACCTCTTCCCCTCCCTCCCTGCCTCACTGCACAGCAGTTTAGGCCTGGGATGGGGGGAGGGCAGGCGGGGCATGAGTGCTGAGACCCCTCACCATCCCCCCTCTCCATAGGCTGAGCTGCTCATCCCCCAGTCCTCAGACCTGGGCCTGGGGACTAAGGCTCTGAGCCTGTTGCCAGGGGCTTCTCAGGCTGGGGCCGCCTCTGTCCCCTTAACTCCATCTGCTTCCACTCTGCTCTGCCCCAAAGCACAAGAGGTAATCACAGCTAACTGTGTGCTCTGCTTTGCCCACTGCCTGCCTGCCTGCTGAGCTCCTGCCTACAGCCCTTGCCAGGCCTGGCTGGCTAGAGGTTGGGGGACCTGGTGTGAGTGCTGCTCTGCTGCCCACAGGGCACGCCAACAGCCCGAGCAGCATCAGGGGCACTGATTTGCGTCTTACTTCGCATGTATTCTGCATGCCACTCCTCAGCTCTCTGGCTCACTTGTTCCTTTTTCATGTGCACCACAGGACAGCCTGGCTGTGGACTCAGGCCCAGCTGAGCCACTGACTGGGTGGGTTTAGGATCCTGGGCTTTGCCCCGGCCCTTCTGAGGATGAGTGTGACAGTCCCTGCCTTCACAACCACAGCTGCTTGTGCTGGCGTCTTTCCCAGTGGGCACCGGGCCCATTTTCCTGCCAGGCTTTTTAACTGTTCCCTGCTATGGCTTCTTTCTCGCTCTGTCTTGCTCAGGCCCTCGTAGTGTCACTGCCAGTTTCCAGTGCCTTCCCCAGTGGAGAGGATGTGAGGGTCCCTGGTCAGTGGTGTGGCGGGTGCCTGAGGCTGCATGTGTGTGCCCGCCTGGGGCTGCCCAGGGTGTGGGAGACAGGTTAGATCTCTGAAAACTGGGCCCTGACCCTCAGTGGGCTCTTGGGAGGCCTTCCTGGGCTTTTTCACCTGCCCTGGGTCTGAGATAAACCCAGCGAAGGGCCTTTGAGGTCTCCTGGGGGCAGGGATCAGATGCCAAGGTGGCCCTGAGAATGGAGCTGCGGGGAACCTCCCAGCACTCAGTTCTGCTTCCACTTTGGTGACTCCCCCACCTGCAGCCACAGAAGGCAGCCGAGTGTCCCACCTCGGCCTCTGGTTTTGTATTGACATGGAGTGGTGGCCCTGTGATGTGGCCTCGCATGGAGTGTGGGGTGCTAAGTACCTGGTCAAACCCCGTTAACCTTTTCTCCGCCCATCTTCCCCTCCCATGGGCGCCCCAGGAGTATGTGAGCCTGGCAGAGGTTCTCCAGCTGTGCTCTCGCTTGGACCCCTATGCTTCTGCCATCTCCCCCAGCGCGCCCACCCAGCCCCTGCCTGACAGTGAGGTACCAGCCACTGCGTGTGCCCACCTATGCCTAGGGGCCTTCCTGTGGGTACCCTAGACTGCCCCTTGGTGGGGGTGGGGTAGCAGGGTCTGTCTGCAACAGTGAGGGAGAAGGGTAGCTGGTGTGAGGGACGTTGGGCATGCCCTGTGGGCTGCAGAGGGGCAGGCGCTGCTCTCAGATGAGTCTCCTGCTGCCAGGACTCTGACCCTGCCTGGCTCTGCAAGCCACCTCTGCTCTGTGCTCCCACCCTCTCCTGTGGACACAGCCCTCTCTTCAGTTCCAGTCCTGTTAACCTCTTATATTCCCTCCTCCGGCTGGTCTTCCCCCAAGTACGTGACGCTTGAGCAGCTAAGGGTGATGTGGGGCAGCTCATCCGTGGCCCCAGCACCTGCGCCAGGCCTGCCTCCCTGGGCCTCTGCCTCTCGGGACCTCGTTCCCACCAGCAGCTTTGCTCCCGTGCCGCCCTCCTCCTCCTCCTCTGCTTCCATCACGCCTTCCCCCAAGGTTGGTGATCTGTGTGTCTTGCCATCCCCGCCCTGTGACTGGCGTGGCTCTGTCTGTTACCCCTGCCGGCCAGCCCCGGGGGAGTGCTCGGCGCTGCGGGCCCTGGCTGGCTGGTGTCTGATGATGCTTCCGTGGTCCGGAGCCGTCCATGCACTGCTTCTCTTTGCCTTCAGCACTCGCGGGGCACCTGTAGTCTCACTGTGTTCTCTTCTCTCTTTGTGTGTGCTCCTTTCTCCCGCCTCCCTCCTGCCCCTCTCCCTGGCCTGGCCTCCCTTCCCCTTCCTCTTTCTCCCTTCTACTGCCTTTTCCTTCCCCTGTGTCCTGGCATCCTTCCCCTCCTCCTGTCCCCGTCCTTGTGTCCCTCCTCGTGACCCCTCCAGATGGAGAAGCTGCTGCTCCCTGCCGTAGACTTAGAGCAGTGGTACCAGGAGCTGATGGCGGGGCTGGGGACTGGCCCTGCAGCGGCCTCCCCTCGCTCCTCCCCCCCGCCTCTGCCCGCCAAAGCTTCCCGTCAGCTGCAGGTAACCCCCCCCCCCCCGGTTCTGCATCCTCCCAGGCTTGCTCTGCCATTCCACCGGCCGCACAGGGTCACTGGGGGTGGGGTGGGGTGGGGGTCAGCCCCTTCAGGGCAGTGAAGTTCTCTCCATGGGCAGCAACTGAAGGGCCAGCCTCCTGAGCCAAGGGTGATGTGACTGTCCAGTGGCAGGGGGTTGTGGAGCTGTGGTCACGTTGGGATCTGTGCTGGGTGAGGTTGTGGTTTTGTTGGCCTAGGCGGCCCCCCGGCAGGGGGAGGGTCCTTGGACAGTCTCCTCCCAGGTTTTACCCCCTGACCTGCGGCAGCATCTAAAGTTCCAGCTTCCAGGAGTTATCCTTGCGTGGCCTCTGCCGGAGTTGTGACTCCTGTAACGTGGGCGGTGTCTCTCCTGCATGCCTGGATCCTGACTTCTACGTGCTTTGATTTGTTTAATCATTACTGCAGGCTTTTGGGGTGGGCAATGTTAGCTCTCATGTGACCCAACACACAGGGGCAGGGGAGATAAGGAAACTCCCCCACTCACCAAGCTGGGAGGGGGAGCCCTTGACTCCCAAGATGGAATTCACACTTGGTTAGTTCCACCAGAAGCTTGGCAAAGACCGAGTCTGGTCCCGCCCCCTCCTTCTGCAGATAAGGAAGCAAAGGCCTTGAGCTGGGAGGTGTGTGGCTCAAGGCCACATAACCTGTTAGTGGCAGAGCTGGGACCAGCCTCCAGTTGTCTCCCAAGTAGATCTGTCCATCTGGCATGAACTCCTTGCGTGGGTCGGTTTCAGGACCTTTCTCTGACCCAGGAGGACTAGGGATTTGGCCTAGGGAGGAGCAGCCTGGAAAGGAGGCCTGGCAGCTGCTAACAGCGTCTGCCTGTTGGGTTGGCCCCAGAGGCTTCAGGCCTGATGCCAGAGTAGAACCTTGGATCTACAGCAGCCTAGGTGATACAAGGGTGGTGTCCTGTTCAAGAGCCTGATGTCACTGGCCGCTGTCTCTTCCCTCCAGGTTTACCGCTCTAAAATGGATGGTGAGGCCACCGGCCCCCTGCCCCGGACCCGCAGCGGCCCCCTTCCTTCATCCTCTGGCTCCTCCTCTTCCTCCTCCCAGCTCAGCGTGGCTACCCTGGGCCGTAGCCCTTCCCCGAAGGTCTGAAGGCAGTGGGCAGGGCGCGCGTGCGTGTAAGGGGGCCTGGAGTCCGCCGTGGAGGATGGGGTGTATTAAGCCCCGGGCCCAGCACTCCCTTCCCTCTGCAGAGTACCCTCCTCGCCCAGAATGGCACAGGCAGCCTTCCTCGCAACCTGGCTGCCACACTGCAGGACATCGAAGCCAAGCGCCAGCTGGCGCTGCAGCAGAAGGGTGAGTGGCCGCAAGGCTCCCGGCCTCCTCCGGGCCCTGCCTTTCACGGGATGCTTTTCCTTTAAGTGGGGCATGCACAGGAGCAAAAAGGTTTAGATGCCTACAGCAGCGCTTCCTGATGTTTAGCTGACGGGGCTCCGGGTCAGGGGCCAGGGCCTGAGATGTGACATCTTTCCCAGGAGCCGAGCAGATAAGGAAGCACTTGTTGACCTCAGGAGGGGTAGACATCTCTGGGTCTGGAGACGGGGGGCCGGATTTGATGACGTTCAGAAAGGGCTCCTTGAGGTGTTGGCTCTGGGGACCCAGGGGTCCTGTAGCTTGTGTGTATTTTGGTTGTTTTGAAAGTCCACGTGTATGTCTCTCTCTCCTCATCCCCTCTGTGTGTCTCTCCCATACCCTCTCCCCGGGGGCCCCCCACACCAGTTGAGTCGCTTCCTGCCGAGCCCCTCCCAACTGATGACCCAGCAGGTAGAGCGTTGACCCCTGGGGCCGTTGCTTTGGTCAGGCCGCCCTCGCGTGGGTGTCAGCATGCTGTGTCCTTGCCCAGGCCCCTGCTGTGTGCAGGCTGGCTCCCTCCCAGGCCTCACCCTCCCAGCTGACTTCTCTCCTGCCCTGAGCTGTGCTCCACCTGTCTCCCCTGCCCAGGCTCCTATCTTGCTGCTCTTGCTTCTGCATTGCAGGGGGTCTGCACGGGCATCCTGGGTGCTCACGGCGCTGCATCTCCTCCTTGTCCCTTTCCCAGCAGGCAGGGTGGGTGCATGTGTTCTGCCCACCAATTCAGGCCTTGGTTGTAAGCTGGAAGCAGCCGACCATCTCACTGCCAGGGCACCTCCTGGGCAGTGGGCTTGGGATGCAGCGAGAGCACTGTTACCAGGCAGTGCTGGGGTCAGTTGTATGGGGCAGCCGGCCTGGAGCTATGGGAGGGAGAGCGGGCTGCCTTATGTTAAGTTCTTCCTGCTCGCCGCCTCCCTCTGTGATGTGTCCCTCTCCACGGGTGGGAGCCCACCGTGACTCCCAGGTGTTCCTCCTGCAGGGCAGCAGGTGATCGAGGAACAGCGGCGGCGACTGGCCGAGCTGAAGCAGAAGGCGGCAGCCGAGGCGCAGTGCCAGTGGGATGCGCTGCACGGGGCGGCACCCTTCCCCCCGCTCATGCACCACTCCATCCTGCACCACCTGCCGGCAGGCCGGGAGCGCGGGGAGGAGGGCGAGCATGCCTACGACACGCTGAGCCTGGAGAGCTCAGATAGCATGGAGACGAGCATCTCCACCGGGGGCAACTCGGCCTGCTCTCCCGACAACATGTCCAGGTACCTGGCCGTGCCCAGCCCACTGCCTCTGCCAGAGGTCCTGTGGGCTCCTTGATGCATGCCCCGTCCTCCTTGCCTCCCCAGTGCCAGTGGTCTAGACATGGGGAAGATTGAGGAGATGGAGAAGATGCTGAAAGAGGCCCACGCGGAGAAGAGCCGGCTCATAGAGTCAAGGGTGAGGCTGGCCTGGGCCTGGGAGGCAGAAGGTGGAGGGGCCCATCCTGCTGAGGGCCTGTGCTGCAGCCCAGGCCCTGCCACCCACACTAGCCACACTAGCCACACAGCATCCCGGTGGGGGCAAATGTGCTTTAGAAGTTGTGTTGCTCACGAGGGCATAGGAGGCTGGGTGAGGGGCAGCCTCATAGCTCTGGACAACAGAAGGTTCCCTTAGGGACTGTGCAACCGTGAATTTCCTGTATGGTTCAGCACATTCAGTCTGTGTGTGCTTGCTTCTGTGAACTTTTTTCTTTTTTTTAAAGATTTATTTATTTGAAAGGCAGAGTTACAGGGAGAGAGAGAGAATCTTCCATCCATTGGTTCACCCCTCAGATGGTCACAATAGTCAGGGCTGGGCCAGGCCAAAGCCAGGAGCCAGAAACTCCATCTGGGTCTCCCATGTGGGTGTCAGGGGCCTAAACTTGAGCCATCATCTGCTGCTTTCCCAGGTGCCTTGTCAGGGAGCTGGCTCAGGGGCAGAGCAGCCAGGACTCAAACCAGCATTCACATGGGATGTTGGTGTTGGAGGAAACCCACTGTGCCACAGCCCTGATCCCTCTGTGGGCTTATTGATCTCTGCGTGTCATCTATGCGTGTCATGCTTCTTGGGGATGGTTAGGAAGAGCTGGAGCTGGGGGTTGAGGTACAGGACAGAAGGGGCTGCAGGTGTCCAAGCTGGAGCAGAGGTGCCGGCTGCGGAACCGAGGGTGCTCAGGGAAGTCACATCCTCTTCACGTGGGCATGGAGCTGGGACTCAACAGAGAGAGACCAGGGTGTATCCTGGACATAGATGGGCCCAGGAAACCAGTGCCTGAGAAGGAAGTTAATTAAGCCAAAGATCTGCAGAAGCATCCGTCTCCCTGTGAGAGGCTTGCAGCATCTCTTGAGATGAGAGTGGCAGCAGCAGCTGAAAGGATTAGAAAGATAAGCACAGACCATGTGGATGTGGGATCAGCCAGCCAAACATGTCTCTTAGTCTTGCATCAGAGTTGGGCTGATGTGCGAGCATCTCTCAGCAAGTGAAGTTCTGAGCCAACAGAGACGGCAGTGGGAGCTGATGGTAGCCAGGTCTTTGTTGTTTCAGATGCAAAGAGCATCATGGAACACTCCGTTCCTTTTTAATAGTTACTGTTTTAAACATTTATGTATTGTTCTTTACTTGAAAGGCAGAGAGAAAAAGATCTCCAGCCACTGGTTCACTCCCCAAATGCCCACAGAAGGTGGGGCCAGGCAGTGCCAGAGCCAGGGGCTCTGAACTCTATCCAGTCTCCCATGTGAGTGGCAGGGATCCACACACTTGGGCCATCATTTGCTACTTCCCAGGCACATGAACAGAAAGCTGGGTTGAAAGTGGAGGCAGCACTTGGTCCTAGGCACTCTGATTTGGGATACAGCATCCCGAGGCAGCTTAGCCTGCTGCCCCACTTAATGACCTTTGAATTGAACTGTTTCTATAACGGCTTTTTTTTTTTTTTTTTTTGACAGAGTGGACAGTGAGAGAAACAGAGAGAAAGGTCTTCCTTTTTGCCATTGGTTCACCCTCCAATGGCCGCCGTGGCCGGCGCGCCGCAGCCAGCACACTGCGCTGATCCGATGGCAGGAGCCAGGTACTTCTCCTGGTCTCCCATGGGGTGCAGGGCCCAAGCACTTGGGCCATCCTCCACTGCACTCCCTGGCCACAGCAGAGAGCTGGCCTGGAAGAGGGGCAACTGGGACAGAATCCAGCGCCCCGACCAGGACTAGAACCCGGTGTGCCGGCGCCGCAAGGCGGAGGATTAGCCTAGTGAGCCACGGCGCCGGCCTGTAACGGCTTTTATAAGTTCAGTTGTGACCCTAGGCTCCAATCATATTTTTCCCCCCATAAAGTTTAAAGTTCAATGACAGGAGCCAGCGCTGTGGCGCAGCGGGTTAATACCCTGGCCTGAAGCGCCGGCATCCCATATGGGTGCCGGTTAGAGACCTGACTGCTCTACTTCCAATCCGCTCTCTGCTATGGCCTGGGATAGCAGTGGAAGTGGCCCAAGTCCTTGGGCCCCTGCACCCGTGTGGGAGACCTGGAAGAATCTCCTGGCTTCGGATCAGCACAGCTCTGGCCGTTGGCCAATTGGGGAGTGAACCAGCAGATGGAAGACATTTTCTCTCTCTCTCTGCCACTCCTCTCTGTGTAATTCTTTCAAATAGATACATAAATCTCAAAAAGTTTAATGACAAATATTTTTCTTTTTAAAGAAGATTTATTTATTTGAAAGGCCGAGTTTCAGAGAGGGAGAGGCTGAGTCAGAAGCCTTTTGAAGGCTAGAAGGCTAGAGCTGGGCCAGATTGAAGCCAGGAGCTTCCTCCAGGTCTCCCACGTGGGCGCAGGGGCCCAAGGACTTGGGCCATCCTCCACTGCTTTCCCAGGTACATTATCAGGGAGCTGGATCAGAAGTGGAGCAGCCAGGACTAGAACCAGTGCCCATATGGGATGCCAGTGTTTCGGGCAGAGGCTTTACCTGCTACACCACAGTGTCAGCCCCAGCAACAAATATTTCTAATGCTGAGTTCCAAGGGATCTTCAGTTAGTGTTTGGGGAAGGATTCCTGAATATATTAACTGTTCAAAAATAGAGGTTCAGCTGTTCCATATTCTGGAATTCAGATACAATGATAAGAGCCCTATTTATTGAGTGCTGCTTTTCTGCTGGAATCAATGACATTTTACATATACATATGAGCTATATGATATATATATGAAATCACATGTAAATTGCCTACTCCAGAAAATGGAGTGAATTCTTTTAAAAAGATTTATTTATTCGAAAGAGTTACACAGAGAAGGAGAGGCAGGGAGAGAGGTCTTCCATCCACTGGTTCACTTCCCAACTAGCCACAATGGCTAGAGCTGGGCCAGACTGAAGCCAGGCGCTTTTTCCAGGTCTCCCATATGGGTGCAGGGGCCCAAGGACTTGGGCCATATTCCACTGCTTTCCCAGGCCATAGCAGAGAGCTGAATCGGAAGTGGAGCAGCTGGGACTCAAACCAGCACCCACATGGAATGCTGGCACTGCAGGTGGTGGCTTTATCTGCTACACCACAGCGCTGGCCCCATGGAATAGCCATTCTTAACCCCAGTTTACAGATAAGGCAGTCGAGGCTTAGTCTGTTTTTTTTGTTTGTTTGTTTTGTTTTGTTTTTGACAGGCAGAGTGGACAGTGAGAGAAACAGAAAGGTCTTCTTTTTGCCGTTGGTTCACCCTCCAATGGCACCGCACTGATCCAATGGCAGGAGCCAGGTGCTTCTCCTGGTCTCCCATGGGGTGCAGGGCCCAAGCACTTGGGCCATCCACCACTGCACTCCCTGGCCACAGCAGAGAGCTGGCCTGGAAGAGGGGCAACCAGGACAGAATCCGGCGCCCCGACCGGGACTAGAACCCGGTGTGCTGGTGCCTCAAGGCGGAGGATTAGCCTAGTGAGCCGCAGCGCCGGCCAGAAAGTTTAAATTTTTTTAAAGATTTATTTACTTGAAACTCAGAGTTACACAGAGAGAGGGGCAGAGAGAGAGGTCTTCCATCCACTGGTTCACTTCCCCAGATGACCGCAATGGCCAGAGCTGCACCTATCCGAAGCCAGGAGTCTGCACAGTGCAGGGGCCCAAGCACTTGGGCCATCTTCTGCTTTCCCAGGCCACAGCAGAGAGGTGGATTGGAAGTGGAACACGGGACTCGAACCGGTGCCCATATGGGATGCCAGCACTGTAGGCAGTGGCTTTACCAGCTACACCACAGCGCTGGCCCCAAGAGTTTAAATTACTTTGTCAGGATCCTAGAGCCCCATGGTAGTGGCAGGGCTAGGTTTTGAAACCAGGACATGTACTTCCAAGCATTTATTCTTCCCACACAGGGCTCTCAGAGAGGGTGGGCTGTGAGGGTGGGGCCTGCTGAGGAGGCCCAGCCCAGGGGGCAGAGGACAGGTATGAGCGCTGAGTCCTGACTTTGGGGCAGGAGCGGGAGATGGAGCTGCGGCGGCAGGCCCTGGAGGAAGAGCGTCGCAGGCGGGAGCAGGTGGAACGGCGGCTGCAGAGCGAGAGTGCCCGGAGGCAGCAGCTGGTGGAGAAGGAGGTCAAGATGCGGGAGAAGCAGTTTTCCCAGGTGAGGGAGGAGCCTGCCTCCACTGGGCCTTAGAAGCCACCTGCTCCAGAAACGGTCATTGCTGTTAGCCTTAGCACAGGCAGAATGCTGCCAGGGATGTGCCAGCCCCCAGGGCTCATTCAAGCCAGCCTGTGTGTGGCTGCTGGGGGTTGGAATATAGCCAGCCACCTTGCAGACCCCTGGCTCAGAGAAGAGGGTCTGGACAGGCCTCCCAGAGACAGCAGCAGAGAAGGATGAGGGTGGCCCTCTTTGGGCTCCTGTGTGCTTTATGAGTCTGCACTGCACCTCCCTCCTGCTCGGCCATCCCGGCCCTGCCCCACAGGGCCTTCCGGTTCCTGTCTCTGCTATTGGTGGCCTCACTTTTCTTTGGGACAGAAATCCCTCCTTGGCACAAAACCAGCCTTGCCCTCGGGTGACTGACACAGGATGGTTGAGCCAGTTAAGGATGGAAGGAGAAATGGGTCTGAGGGGGGAACCTGCTCACCTCCTGGCCGGGCTCAGGACTGCAGCTAAGGGGTCGGGTGGGGAACCACGGCAGAGAGGAGGCTATGCTGACTCTGCCGCCTGCTCCCAGGCCCGACCCCTGACCCGCTACCTGCCGATCCGGAAGGAGGACTTCGACCTGAAGACCCACATAGAGTCCTCAGGCCACGGTGTGGACACCTGTCTGCACGTGGTACTCAGCAGCAAGGTACCAGGACCGGGCGGGCACTGTGGGCCAAGGCAGTGTTGGGGACAGCCCCCGCTGCAGGAGGCAGGGCTGAGGGGCCTTCGCTGGCTCCCTACCGACTCCTTCCCACCAGGTCTGCCGTGGCTACTTGGTCAAGATGGGCGGCAAGATTAAGTCTTGGAAGAAGCGCTGGTTTGTCTTTGACCGGCTCAAGCGCACCCTGTCCTACTATGTGGGTGAGTGTCCACAGGTCTGCTCTGGGTGTCAGCCAGGACAACTGGTCTTCCGGAAGGAGGCCATGCTTCCATGGAGGGGGCCGGAGGCTTGGGATGATTTGTCATCCTGACCACAGAAGTAAATAGAGTGTACCTGACTCACTTCCATTTCTGTGCTGGTTCACTCCCCAAATGGCTGCAACTGCTGGAGCTGGGCCAGGTTGAAGCCAGGAGCTTTTTCCACAGGGGTGGGCGTGCCACGGTAACATGGGTTCTAAGATCCCAGGGGCTCCAATCTACTCACTTCTTACTCCCGACACACCGGTGCACAGCCGTGCTGAGTTTCAGAGCACGCCTTTCTGGAACGTGGATGGCCACAGTGGGGAAAGAGGGAAAAGAAAGGCTTCAGTGGGCCCTGAATTGGCATTAAGTTTGTCAGCTGTCTACAAATCACACAGTGGTCCCTCGAGGAGCCTGGAAGTAGGGAGGGCTACAGGGTCTGGCACCAGTGATGCCCAGGCCCTGAGTGCCCCCTGATCACAAGCCCCGTGTGTGGAGAGCCAGAGGCGTCCTCATTTTCCCACCTGGGCTGGAGAGGGAGCTCCATTGTGAGCACGTGGGGGCCGAGCTGCCCTGGGCCCTCCACGTTGTGGGGGGAGGCCGAGTGACAGTGGAATCTGTTGGAAGAGAGAGAGTCAGTCTCCACAGAGCGCAGTTGTTGAGGGTGTGTGCTGAGCACTCCACATACATCATCTGATATAATCTTTGCAAAAACTGTGGGGAGAGCACTGTATTTGCACCCATTTTACCCATGAGAAGAATGCAGCTCAGAGAGGTTAACTAGATCCCCCAAGGTCTCATAGCTCCTGAGGCAGAGCAGAACTGACCCCGAGCAATCAGACCGCAGAGCAGAGGGGAGAGGAGGCTGCCTCAGGACCAACAGGGGGCGAAGGGGCAGGAGGCCAGCACTGAGCACGTACCAGGCCTGACTTAATGTCTAGAAAACAAAAGGAGACCAAGGCAGGCGTAACAGTGGATAAAGGAGGGTTCAGATTCAGCCCGGTAAGTTGTGGGCAGAGCACAGCTGTGCCCTAGGGGGGACATACGCAGTGGGGTCTGAGGGTCACTCGAGTGTGTGCCCAGGGCATGGACCAGAGAAGACCACCGTGATGTGTGCAGAACGGACTTTGAAGGGAAGGGCGAGCAGCTGGGAGGCCGTAGTGGAGAGGCTGTGAGCTGCAGGAACAGGACGGGGTCTGCTTTGGGGAGTTCTCATGTGCATGTCTCTGTATTATGAGTGAACAGAGGGATCCGTGGGAGGCAAGGCCCACCAGCCCCTCCGGGGTGGGGAAGTGCCCCACCCTCCAAAGCCCTGCCCTTCTTACCTTTGCAGACAAGCATGAGACGAAGCTGAAGGGCGTCATCTACTTCCAGGCCATTGAGGAAGTGTACTATGACCACCTGCGCAGTGCAGCCAAGGTCAGGGGCGAGGGGCACCGGAGGGAGGCCACAGGGCAGGGGCTGCCCCCGTTCTGTTGGTCACTTTCTCTTCCTTTCTCCTCTCCCAGAAGAGGTTTTTCCGCTTCACTATGGTGACCGAGGTACCCCTCCCCCACTCCTGTAACCAAAAACCCTCACACATTAACACCCTGTGCCCACTGACTCGGACCCCCTCCTCCCTGCCTCTAACTGCCCTAGGCCTGACGGAGGAGCAGAAGCAGGAGGCCCCTGGGGCCTGCGTGTGGCTTGCAGCTCCGTCCAGGGAGACAGCAGCAGGATGTCCCTGCTCAGGGCCATCCTGCAAAGGGACGGGTAAAGAGGGGGTGGGGCTCAGAGTCTAGGTCTGAGAGGGAACGGCTGCCTGGCCCTGACCTCTGTCCTTCTGGGGGCCTGGGGCCCAGCACCCTGCCTGTCGCCCCATGCTCCTTTGTGTCTGAATCACCCACTACTCACTCAAGAACAGCACCCATCTCCCTGGGCAGTGTGCAGTCCTGCCAGCCCTATAGCACCCAGGGAGGCCTGAACTGCTGCTGGGCAGAGGAGACGTCAGCCTGGGGCCCAGCCCTCAGCTCCAGGTTGTCAGAGGCATGAAGACAACGTGCTGGACATCATTGTGACCCGCCCCCTTCCCTCGGCAGAGCCCGAACCCAGCGCTCACCTTCTGTGTGAAGACCCACGACCGGCTCTACTACATGGTGGCCCCGTCCGCAGAGGCCATGCGCATCTGGATGGACGTCATCGTCACGGGGGCCGAGGGCTACACTCAGTTCATGAACTGACTGCCGCGGCTCCCAGAGACCATCGCGCTGGGCGTGGGAGCAGGTGGAGCTGAGCGCAGCCAGCGGCCGGGTTCTCAGAGCCAGCCAGAAGACGGGGGAGAGGAGCCCAGAACTCTTCGGGGTCCCACCCCAGGCCCAGCCAGGGCTGAGGAGCTGTCACCAAGTGGGCCTCCAGCCCTGGCCTGGCACCTGCTGTCCTGTCCCCTTTCGTAAAGGATACATACGGTACCAGAGTCTGCCAAAGATCCTCCCCCGCCCCGTCCCATGCCAGGGCCGTGGGGGCTGGGCAGAGCCACATGCAGAGTGGGGCGACAGCTCAGGCAGCGTGTGTCTCAATCCCGGTTCTGCCTGGAAGCGCTCCCCTTTCTACTTTTTATAACTTTGTTCAGGGGCCCGAGGCCTGGAGCATCACCCTGGCGGTCCCAGTCCCATCCTGTCAGGGCAGGGCCAGCACCCTGCGCTGCACAGTGAGTGTGCTGTCGCCATGGTAACATGCTAACTGCCTCACCCTGGGCCCCCTGAGGGTCCCTGCCATCATCTCTCCTGCCGGGGGCGGGGGCCTGGCCCTAGACACTGCTCCTCTGCCTGTGTCTCTGAACCCTGAGGCACAGCTCGGCCCCATCAGCCCTCGTCCTCCCACTCGTGCCTTGCTTAGAGCCAGAGGGGGTGCAGAGACCCTGACAGGGAAAATTGGCTGCTCAGAGCTGGCAGAGTAGAGGCCTGGGCAAGGAGGGGAGGCCTGGAGCTGCGGCTGGCCTCCCCAGGCCCTGGAGGAGAGTGACGGCCGGGCCTCCGACTGTCTGGCCTCAGCCCTTTGCGCCTTAACACTAAGCCCACCTCCCGCCGTCTCCCCAGCCCTGGGCCCTCAGCTGCCAGGCCGGGCTGTGGGGTCTCAGTATTTGTAAGTGTTTCTGCGGAACAATAAAGCATTTGAGCTAGGTGTGTGTGTGTGAAGCCGGGTGGGTGGGGGCCCGGACCCCCCCAGTGGGAGGTCCAAGCAGGGACCCTGGCCCACCGTGACCTCCAGGTCCCTGCTCTGTCAGGCTGGGAGGCGGCAGGGCAGAAAGAGGCAGGAGAAGGCGGGGCCGGTGAGAGGTTTAATGAACAGAGGTGCAGGGAGGCCGCCCTGTGGTCACCGTGTTAGGAAGCTGAGCAGGAGGGCAGCGGCCAGGCAGTGGGGCTCCAGGAGCGCCAGCTGGGTCCCCGAGCTCAGCCGGTCACCATAGCGGTCCAGGAGCATCAGGGCCACTCCGTTGGTCCAGCCAAACCCCTCCTGGAGAGAGGGGAGGCTGGTGGAGCCACAGCTGTGAGGCACCCGCAAGCCTGGATCTGGGGGTGTGGGGGCTCCTCTACTTGGGGCCCAGGGCCCTGGCCCCACCCGCCCCAGGGAACCAAGGAGCACTCAGCTGCTCCCTGCGGCCTGGAGGGTCCCGTCAGTGGTGGGGACAGCACGGCCCACTCACCTGCACTTCATACTCCCCTCCGCCACCCGGCTGTGCATTGCTGATGTCATACTGGGGACAAGAGGTCGGGTGAAAGGTCAGGCACTGGTCCTACCCCACCAAGTCCGTCCTAGGGGAGAAGTGGTTCTGGACACAGCCCCGGCCCCTGCAGTGCCCAGATGTGGCCACTGGGTGCCGCCACTGTCCTGGCTGCGCTGCCCTGGGCCTCTTGGAATCTGAGCTTCCCTCACTTGGGGGAGGAGCCCCTGGCGGGATGGTGGAGCTCACCTTCTCATACATGGCTGATCTTTGGGAGTAGACATCAAAGTTGGTCCGGATCCAGTTCTGAGCCAGCTGGAAAGCCACTTCCTGTGTCCGAGCTGAAGGCGACTTGGCCAGGCCTAGACCCCACCCCAGGCAGGACCCTGAATCTCCACAGCTCCAGGCCCCAGCGAGGGAGAGCCCTGGGCCCAGTGCAGGCTGTGGAGGCAGAGGAGGGCTGATCCCACAGGGCGGTGGGAGTGGGGCGTTTGCCAAGTGGGAGGCCAGAACAGACACAGGGGAAGGGCCTGCCTCCACGGCCCACACCTCCCTAGCACCAGGACAGCCGACCCCCTGCAGCCTGAGGCCAGGCCTCCCTACCTCTGATGACCAGATCCTGAAGGGGGGCCCAGGCATTGGGAAAGTCCCACTGCTGGCCTGTGTTCTGGAGAGAGGTTGGGATTCCATGGCGGTGGTTCAGGATCTGGCTGTCCTAGAAGGTTCCAGGTGTTACTGAGGCTGTGGGTGGGGGCTGCAGGGGGAGCCAGGGTGCAGGTGCAGGACCCTCCTGGACCCCAGATGCACCTTCCCTAGCCACCTCTTCTCGGCTCGCTGCTGCCCCCTGGTGGGAGCCACAGGCTAAGGCCCAGGAGCAGACAGGAGGGAGTGGCTGCCACCTACCAGGTCCCTGCTCCCAAGAGCCAGGAGGGGACAGTGCTGCTCCCTGTGGGCCCGACCCCGCTGCTGTCCCCTCACCTGCAGGTACTGCAGAGCCTTGTCTGCGATGGCAGGGTCAGAGAAGCAGCCGGCCCAGAGTGGAGTGAGGTTGGACGGGTAAAACTCGTGGTTCTTCTTCTGGTTCTCAAGGTCGTAGTCGAACCAAGCGCCCTTGTCCTCGTCCCACAGGAGGGCCGTCAGGGCCGCTATGCGCTGTGCCCGCAGATTTCTGTACTTCGTAGCCTGGGATTCATTCCCTGGGCAGCATTGCCTTTAGATGGAGTTCCCAGGGCCGTCCCCAGGGGCCTATGCCCTGGACAGCTCTACTCTGCCTCGTCCAGGGGGTGAGGAACCTTAGCAACCAGAGGCCAGCCTGACACCCACCCCATCTCCAGCATCTAGGGCCTGTGGTTCCCTTAGCAGATGGCCCTGCACCACCTCCAGAGCCAGCATGGGTTCTGTTCCCAGGGCCACCCTCCGAAGACTAGCTATCCAGGTCCCCTAGCTCGGGGGATGGGGGGACCAGGTGGCTCCAGGGAGAGGAGTGGATGAAGTTGGGTGGTGTGGATGATGTGTCCATCACAGGTCCTGGGGGCCCTTTGCATAAGGGGTCAGAAGCCCAGGACGGCTCCACGTTCTGGAGGGTGACCCAGCCAGACAGCCCTGGCTCCCTGGACGCTCACCGAGCCTGCTGTAGAAGCCACTGAGCAGCTCTTCGGCCTGGCACAGGAAGGCATTCAGGTCGACGGGCACCAGCTTGCTCGTTCGGATGCTGCCGAGTGAGTCTGGGTTTGGGCTGCCAACCAGCCAGCGCGAAGAGAAGTCCCAGCCGGACTCGGCGCCGGCCTTGAGTTCCGCCCACAAGGTTTCCCAGCTCCCTGTGAGCACAGAGCAGGGTGGCCAGGCCGGGCCAGGCTGCAGCAGCCCAGGGGCCGGGGCCAGGGCCCAGGGCACACTGCAGCCATGAAGCCGCCCACACCCAGTGTCCCCTCCCCTCTCGTCGCTCACCTTCCGGCAAGGTGTGTGCCAGCTCTGTGTCTTTGCTGTAGGACTCGGGCCTGGCAGAGAGGAGGGGTGGGCAGCCTGGCTTGAGCAGGAGGCCACGCTCAGCCGTCCCCCCCTTGCCGAGGGCTCTCAGTGAGGCCTCGTGCAAAGCCAGGCTGGGTCAGACTCTCTCCACCACAGCGGACAAGCAAGAGGTTGAGGGGGGCCGGGCAGTTCCTCACCTGGGCCCCCCGTAAGGGACGTGATAGCGGTTCAGGGTGTAGCTGTTTCCCCCCGAGCTCACAGAGATGGTCCTGTTCTCAGCCCAGAAGTCCAGTTCCAAGGCCAAGGTCTCAATGTTCTCCCTGGGGTGGGATTGAGCAGAGCCCATGGCTTCAGCCCAGGCACTCCCCAGCGCCCCCTGCCCAGGGAGGTCTGTGGTGTGGGGTTCCCACCGTAGGAAGGCAAGGTCACCGGTGTGCGCCACGTATCGGTCCATCATAAGCGTCAGGAGCGGGGGCTGGCTGCGCTGCAAGTAGTACACTCGCCCGCCATTGGGGATGTGCCCATAGCTGCCGAGAGCGAGACCCGTGCGATGCCCTCTGCCCAGCCCCTGCAGCCCAGCCACACCTGCCCTGCCCCCAGCCCCGGTCTGGCAGTGCCCTGCCCCTCTTACGCCGTCACCAGGTCCAGGAAGTTTTGCAGCATGCCCTTCACTGTCTCGGCCATCTCAGACAGGAGCAGGCCCTCCATGACCCAGTAGGAGTCCCTGGGGGACGGTGCCGGCCTCAGCCCAGCGCCGCCCTCCACCTGGCACACACAGACCAGCAGAGGGCACTCGCCCTGCATCCCCCACCACAGCTGGCCCCGATGCCCGGGGCCTCTCCGGCCTGGGCACTCACCAGTAGTAGAACTCCACAAAGCGCCCGCCAGGCACAATGAAGGGATGTTGGGAGTAGATCAGAGAGAACCGCTCAGGCTGGCTCAGCACCTCTGGCTTTATCTGTGTCAGAAGAGAAGCCCCACGGAGCGGGGCCAGCTCAGGTGCTGTGCTGCCAGCTGTGGGGCCAAGGCCTGGCCGCTGGGAGCCCTGATGTCTGGGACTGCCACACGCAGGCCTCTGGGGCCCGGCTCAGTGCATCTGTGTGTAGAGCCCTGACCTCTCAGCCTGGCACCTGCCAGTCAGGAGATGACCTGGGAGTGGGGGTGCCAGGCCCCATCCCCCTCCACCCGGCATCCCTGCTGTCACCACCACGCCAGGCCCAAGGAGCAGCCCACCCACCCCATTCTCTGGCCCAGGGAAGGCAGATGTGGATGAAGGGGGAAGGATCAGAGGGGCTGCTAGGGGCCGTCAGGTCTCTCTGGTGCCCCCTCTGTTTCTGCGGTGCTGGCTTTAGTGGGGAGCAGTAGAAATGGGCTCACATTCATTCTGGCTGGGCTCAGCTGCTGAGGGAGGCAGAGGCACTGACAGGGGAGCCCTGAGCTGCTCTTGGGCCAGCGAGTGCCAGGCCATGGGGCAAATGGGAGGAAAGAGCTGGGTGTGCCCAGGGGATTTGGACAAAGGCGCTGCCCTGAGCCTCCCAGCAGAGGAGAGAAAGTTGTTCAGGTCAGTGCTGGACACAGGGCAGGCCACAGACACTGCCTGGGGAGGGGAGGGGAGGGGAGGGGAGGGGAGGGGAGGGGAGGGGAGGGGCCAGGGGTTCTTCCTAGAGGGTTTCTGTGTTGGCTACTGGGGAGGGTGGGGGCTGCATTCTCAGGGTTGGAGACCTCATGTGTGCTCAGGGGGGCCTCAGCCCCCACCATGTGGTCCCCCGAGCCTCGCCCCCACCACGCACAGCCCCCTCCCCATCCCGGGCCGGCCCCCCGACACTGCTACCTTCTTTCCCAGCTTCTTCCAGAGCAGGTGCAGCTGCTCTGCCCAGGCTCGCAGCTTGGGGTCCGAGATCTTCTGCAGGAACTGGGGGCTGCAGAGGCACCGGCCCCACAGGGTTCAGGGAGGCGGCCCCATGCAGGCGACCCTCTCCTGTCCCCCATGCAGAGTCCCACCTCTCTTTCCAGTCCCCGGGGGTCCATGATTCCAGCTCCTGCCCCACCGCCTGGAAGTGCTCCTGGACAAACTTCTCGAGCTGCTCCCTGGGGACGGTGTTGTTGTAGGTCGCGGCCAGCTCGGCGAAGCTCTGCAGAACCTGGTCTGGGGAGCAGGCGGCCGAGAGGGGTCAGCAGGGTGCCCTGAGCCCCTCCCAGATCAGAAGGGCTGCTCAGCCTAGTCTCGCGCCTTCCCTGCCCATACAGGAGCAGGGGAGGCCCCACGTGCTCACCTGGAGCCGTGGACAGCGGCATGTCCACAAACTGCTTATCGTCCGGGTAGAGCCGGGCCATCTGGACCTGGTGCAGGAGCTCCCCATGGCAGTAAATCTGGCTGCAGAGAACACAGGCGGGGTGGATGCCAGTGTGGGGTGGCGTCCGAGGCAGACAGCTCAGGGCACGCTCCCCGGGCTGGAGTCGAGTGTGCCTGCCCGTGTTTGTGCCGGTGGCA